GTGCTTTCGTCAGCTTTCCCCACAACAGCACTGTGGCCCCTGAGCTTGGCCCACAGCACTTCTTTACATCTGCAATCACACTACAGTGGACAACAGAGAAAAATGGGCTTTGGTTATTCTAGCTGGAGAATGTGGCAAGAACTGGCAATACACAGGAAACCACAGATCAATCACCGGTGATGCAGTCATGCTGATAGGCACCATTCTGTAAGAAAATGGCCATTCGGTCAAGTTTAAAATGTCACACTGCATGAACAACTGCGGAAATGGTGAAAAAATGCTGTGTGTGTACAAAGGCTTGATTAATTTACAAATCAACTGTGACTTTATTACCAACTCAGACAGCAATTCTTAAGTAGCCTGTTCCTTGCAGAAGGCTAATTAGCAGCCAGAGGCTGTAATGAGATCACTTTTAATATTGATTTAACTCTGCTGCTATTTTGGGCTCCTGCTTGAACCGTTCTTGAACGAAGAGGATGCTACCTGCACGATGCACCAGCTACACTAACAGCTCAGCTCCTGGTAAACAGCAATATCGAGAAATCTGCCTCGCGCTTGTTTACCAAGGGGGACAGGAAGGATGCAGGCTGCCAAGTGTAGTACTCGTCTTACTACGGGGAACCTGTCATTGCACAAGAGTAAATTTTACCTTTTTGCATTTCCAATGAGTTGCTACAGTGGGGCTGTGGGGGAGACAGCAACAATCTCCTGCTTCTTTCAAGATCGTATGATATACATGTTTGGTGGTTATTATTACTGTAACATAACATGTATACCCTGCCTTTCTTCCTCTCAAAAGGAATCCAGGGCAGTTTACAAGGTTCTCCTCCTCTTCATTTTGTCCTTGCAACAATCAGCCTGAGGTAGACAAGGTAGAGTGTCTGTAACTGGCCCAAAGTCACCAAGAGCTTTCATGACTGAGTTCTCAGGGTGGTTGCAATAACTGCAAAGGCTGCAAGTTGCAACCCGATCGAACAAAATTTAAAGCATTTGTGCATCACACCTGAGCTACATGAAGTTAATATTTATGCTATATGAATAAGCTGTAGGGTCTTGAAACTTGCTTTATGTACTAGAAGACAACCATGGGGGATGAGATTGCAAACTAGCCTTCCCCAATGTGGCACCAGCCAGATGCATTTGGATGAGGACCCCCATCATCCTCAGCCAGCAGGACATGATGGAAGCTGCAGTCCAAGTATGTCTGGAGGGCGTTAGGTTGGGAAAGGCTGCTCTGAGCAAAGGGAACATTATGCGAACTTTAGCTAACAAGGCAGCCTTGTTCTTTCTTTCTGCACTCCTTCCTCCTTACATCTTGTGATGGAACCTGACCTTTTCTCTAAGGTTACTTCCGAGCACCATGACTGTGTCAGTTTGCCAAGGATGGTCCGTTTCATGCTAGATTCAAATAAATCATGGGTGACATTTCTGCCCAAGTTTCAAACACAAGCAAGTAGTGACATGGTGCTGGGGAGTCTGCCAGTGCCGCATCCTGCTTAGATAAGGGAAGCATTCTTCCTTATGGGTAACGATAGAGAACAGTAGCCGGAGGGAAAACAAATCTGTGCCACAGCTTAATATTCAAAAGTGTCCACAAGAGAATGTGCTCTTAGCACTGCTTCATGGATCACTTTAAAACACTCCCCAGTTCTCTAAAAAGTGGCAAAATAGTCTCTCTACTTCTTCCCTTTGCCTTACCCTGGACACTCAAGCAGGGTAACCACAGTCCAAACACTGGTAGCAATCCTGCAGCAAGTGGCCCCACTGTGGGGAAGAGCTTGTGGTTCTTCCTTGGTCAGGAAAACCATGTGACCAGATCAAGGAGCAATCACTGAGGCAGCTGAGAAAGAGGACACTCCGGTTTGGTTAGCCTTGAATCTAGAAGAATAGTTCTAGATAACATTAGAATCACTCTCAGACGTTTCCCCCATGCTTTGGCTGTGGATCAAATCAAGACCTAAAGCTGCTTTAGTCCCTTCCAGAACAACCCTATGGACCGTGTGAGACCTCCCAGTGACCACAGGGTTGCTCAGAAAAACCCCTCTTAGGTTGCAGACAGTGCCTGACCGCTGGCCTCTGGAGTCAGAAAAGCAATCTCAGAGGAGGGAAGGGGGAGGCCAGTGGTGGGGACAGGAGGAAACTAGGAAGGCCAAGATATCTTGATCCTCTTCCAGCTTCTTTCTCTCCCCCTCAAAGCTTTTTGGCTCATCTAGCAAAAATTGCCAATGTCAGAGGATGGAGAGGTGAAGATCACCACCACTGCTCCTTCGGGCTGGCCGGGCACAGGAGTCTTAGAAGCCTCCAGGCTGGGGAGATTCCAAGCACCGATGACACAGTCAATCTAATTGTGCTCACAGGATGCTTCTAGCTGGAAAGTTCCTTAGTGCTACTGCTACAAATGAGAACTTGTGCAAGCAGTAATAGAAAAGGCAAGATTAATGGGGAAACAAGTGAATGTTACGAGCTGAACATGTCACTGTCTCCACACATCATCTTGAGGCAGGATGATGGCCCCATAAAAGTCCCATCAAAAGCACCCTTGGTTTAGAGAAAGACTATAGCCTTCTGCCAGAACAGCATCTGCACACTCAGAGTGGCAATGTGCTTCAGCAGGCTAGAACTGCCCAGGGGGTCCTGTGTGGAACGATTGGGTGCCGTTTACAGATCCAATAAATATGCAAACAAGCACTGATTTGTGAATGCAAGCTTTGCGAGTGCCCGTAAAGAACGTGGGGCTTCAAGAATTCCATCAAGACATATTTCAGCGTTCCTGGAAAAGCTATTGCTAATCAAACAACTGAAGTCAGAGCCGCCTTCTAACAAGCGAAGACCAGTGGCAGCTTCAGAGCAGGACTTAGAGGCACAAGGCATGGACTCCACACAGCAGAAAGAGCAGGAAGGCTGCCAGACACAGGGTAGCATACTGCATCTTAAAGTAAGGGAAGTAATACATATTTCCCTTTAAAAGGGATTCCCCCAATAAGACAATTAAAATTACCTAACTGTAGCACTGCTGAAGATACCCCTCCCCAGTTCGTTTCTATAAATTAAACACGTTGTGGCCATTTTTGTTTTCCTATTAGTCTGCTTTAAACTTTAGAGTAATTCTCACCTCACCACTGCAACAGATATTTAAACTGATCATATACTTAAACATTTGCTTACTCCAAAACCAAAATATACGAACTTTAGTTAGCAAAGGAGTAAAAGCTGTAGATAAATGGAAGGGCAGCCTACAGAGCAGGTCTGCATTTGCCTTTCTTGACAGTCCTCTTCAGAGAAGAACATACTATTCAGCTTTTTTAAAGGTCAAATAAATTATAAGTTGGATGGGTGTTTAGGCATTTGTGGGAATGAGGAATGAAAGGATGGCTGTTCACTCTTCCGAATTTCCCAAACAAAAGCCTTACTGAAATGCTACAGGTGGGCTTACTTGACAAACTTGTTCCCTCTGAGGCACAGAAGAGCTTAGTTGCTTTTGGAATTCTCTTTTCCTCAAAGAAAAACAGGAAGTTCCCAAAAGTTCTTCTTTTAAAGTCCCAAAAGTTCTACTGGTGCTCACCATGTGTATCTTTCGTTCTAATAGTTTTAGCTTCTATTAGGAAGATTTAGATACGGTTCCCCTCATATTTTAAAATGAGGCCTGGACTAGTCTCCTGTTTTATCTCTGGTACTGGTGAACTAGAGACCTTTGGAAAGAGACAAACGCGATGGCATTAACCACCAGCATTTTGGCCACAGCATATACAGAACAGCAAGCTCCTCTTTGCTTGTCAAAGCCAAATGGCCATATGCCAGCCTTCCCCAACTTGGTGCCCTCCAGATCTGCTGTAGTACAACTCCACCATCGCCGAGCCAGCTGGCTGGGGGATGCCGGGAGTTATAGTGCAGCACAGCTAGAGGGCATCAGGTTGACAAAGGCTGCCATCAACCTTCCTCTGTGAATTTGCCCAAACCCCTTTTGAGGCCATTTAAGCTAGCAGCCACCTCACACATCATCAGTGCCTTCAGCTTAAATTATATGCAGTCTCAGGGAGTGGCTTTTGTTCTCACCTGATGTAGTACCTGCATCCTTGTGTTCCTGAAGGTGAGAAATGCCTTGCCATGCACTGCTAGCACAGCTCCCCACTCACTGCATCTGGCATGTTGCCCGCAGGCCAGAGGGCAGCTTCCTGTGCAAACAGGCATGGCTCTGCTACAGCTCTCCATGTTCCATGTCACATCCCACTTGCCTCAGGGCGGTGCAGCCCAGCTGTATTTCTCCACACTTCCAGGAGGAGAGCCCTTTGCACTAAAAATCTGGAGGAGGCCTTTGGCAGCTATTCTGTCTTTTATTCCTTGACAGAAGAGGTACTAAAAACATGGGGGAGATACAAATGGAAGACAATGAAATCTGGCCCACTGGTAAAATCCTGTGAATGAGGCAGAGTGATTGCATAGTGAGAGCCTTGCCTGGAATCCCCCAGAGTGTTATCAACAATGGCCCCCAATCTCCCTCTTGCACATTTGCTTATCCCAAGGGAATCAAACCTCCTTCAGCCTGAGGGCTGAATTCAAGTTTTGAGATGCTCTCCAGGGGGCTGTATTCTACTGGTTGGAATGGCTGAAAGCAAAAATGCTAGCCTATTTTAGTGTAAAGCTCTGACTGCCAGTAACTAGGTCTTAAGAAAGGCATTTCAACCTTTTACTATACAGGAATACAATGCACAAAGGCCAGGAAACTGCCAAACAGTTGGTGGTCAGTGGCTGAAAGGGACTGGGGCCAGGGAAAAGGGGGGTGGCAACCTGGGGCACCCTAGACAGCTGGACTGGATTCCCAGGTAAGCTGAACTGAAGTTGGATGCTCCTGCCTTATCCTCTGACTTGCATTTCAGGTTCCAGTGTTCATCTCATGAGAGCACCTCCAGGCTTGTTCTCAGACATCTCTATGCATATCAAGTGCCCCTCTTCCCAGTCCCACTCACCACCCCAAAAGCTATTTCAGACACCACAGTGTGAGCTCCATTTTCCAAGCTGCTATTTATTGTAAGACAGCTATTACTCTGCTAAGAAGGCAGCAACAGTCCAACAAAATGCTCCACTCTCAGAGAGGAAGGACCCCACCACTGGTGGCAGAAGTCCCCACACTTCCCTCTGAGCCTGGAGAAAAATAAGAGCTCCATCTGTGCCCTCCAACTCTGCCAGGAAAAAGAGCACAAGACTCCCAGTATCAGGCCAGATGAGACTGTGGAGTTTTGGATAGAGGCTATCTAAAAAGAGCAAACTCAATGGCAGGGAGGTGGAGAAAGGAGGTGCAATCCATACCTGGCAGAGGGAGAAAAAGCAGGTCCAGCTGCTCGGCCCCAGGTTGGACCAACAGAGTTTGCCTTCTTGACTCCGTAGAGCCTACTCTTGGCAGAGCCAACTGCAGCTGCCATCTGAAGGAAGAACCAGCCTCCACTTCAAAACTAAATACAGAACAGGTACAGAACTGGCATCTCCCATAGGAGTGAAAGAGAGATGCCTGGCAGTCCCGAGTGACCCTGCAAAAGGAGGATGGCTGCCCTCCTGTGTGGACGACCAGGGAAAATTCAGGGCTCCAACTAAGCAAAGGACCCCAGCTGAGGAGGGAGGGGAGAAGCCTACAGTCACCTAGTGCATAAAGAAAATCCTATGCAGCGAGTGCAGGACATCTCCCGAGCTGCTTGCGACAAAGGGAGGGGAGCACACAGGGCACGGCTGGTCAGATGCGCTGGCCCCTCCAATTCCGAGCACAAAGCTGATGCTTAGCCCTCCCCCACCCCGTCCGCCAGAGTCAGCAAGTACAGCATAAGGTGCACAGTGGATCCAGCAGGGGCAGGACTCCGAAGTGGCTGCTCACTTGACGAGGGCTTGGTTACACTGCCCACACACAAAGACCGTCTCCCGCTGGGCATCAGGGGCTGCAGGAGAAAGCAGCAGTCAGAGATTCGGAGCCTACCAAGAATCGTGCAGGTCCCCACCCTCAAATCCTGCCAAGGAGGAGGACAAGTTTTGCCCTCGGGAACTGGGACTGAAACACAAAACCTCCCTCCATTATTTGCTGGGATTCTCCAACACAGGGCCCACAGACACCCCACGTGGTGTCTACCAGGCTCCCTGTCCCTCCTGATTCTTTAATGCTATGTTTTAAAATTTCCTGCAATCTCAAATACTGGGAGGTTTGCATGCTGCTGTCCTCCTGAGCCCCTGTATTTGGGATCAAAGAGTAATATTTTTTAGGAGCTCAGACCCTGCCTCTCTTTCCTACTGCAGCTCTTCAGCATGTTCTTTTTCTTTCGCCAGTTTTGCCTTCTGGGAAGTGAATGTTGCATGACTGGCCAGACCCACCATGGCAGCGATGGGAACGCTCACGCCCACAGCAATCCCTTTGTGAGCGTTCCTACGGCACTCCCTCGAAGCTCCAAATGAACCTGTCTGCCTGGAAAGGTTGGGCACCCCTGCTCTGCCCTTTCCCCACTTGACACAAACTAGCAGGAGACAGGATTACAGCCACCTGCCTTGCCTCATTCTCTCCCTCACACACAGGCACAAGATCTCCTGCTCACACATTGCTCGCCTCTGCGACACTCACCTGTGGCCCCCATGCAGCTCTTCGGAACTTTGAAGGAGCAACATCTGGAGCAAAAACTGTTCCCACAGTTACTGCAGCTCCGCTGAAGGGAGGAACCAGGAGAGAGAGCTGCAAGAGGAGGCTCAAGGAAGACATCCCATGATATGCCATTTTGCCCCCCACCCCAAAACACGCCGGGCTGACCAGGCCTCCTTTGCTCTTCGCCTAAGGGTGCGACATGGCACAGGGGATACGTGATTAGCACCCCCTGCTTTAAAAAAGAAGTTGACTGCAGCCACAGAATGGGCTTCTGCTGGACTGGGGTGCAAAGAGAAGGATCACTTTCACCCCAAATGCCATTTGCCCTGAAAGGGAAAAATGTGCAGGGATCCACACAATACCCAGCTGGTGGGTGGGGTGGCATTTCAGGAGGGGCAAATGATCTGGATGGGGGCTAGAGCTATGGTTACCTTCTTTTTAAAAACAGGCATTTTAATCACAGATCCCTCGCACCATGCCAGTTGGTTCTAGGAGCCACAGAAAAGGATCAGGAGGAATGCCCAGTCTGCAGACCAGAAAGGTGGAGTGGGAGAGGAAAAGCTGCACCAAGTGCTAGGAGCTGTTCTTCCAGCTCTCTCCTTTCCCAGCACCAGCACTGGAGCCAAGACGACAAGTGGCACAAGAGAGGGCACATGAATAGCGCCTTTCAGGTGCTCACAGTTGCCTTCCTTCCAGTCCATCACCACTCTCTTCTGTGTTTCTGTACTGCAGGAGTTTATGCAAGGGCTTAGAAATACAGGTCACCGGGCTGAAGTGATCAGCCTGAAACCCACAGGGCAGGTACCAGAGGCTGCTGGTGGGCTGGGGTTTGCTGGGTCAGGCACTCACCCTCTTCTTCAACACAGAGAAGGTGGCTGAACAGCTTGCACAACTCCCTGTGAAAGATGAGAGACGGCAGACATGAAGATCAAACCTGGCAGGTCTTTTTCCCCTGCTTTCTCCAAGCGCCACAGACCTGTGGCCCTCCCTTTCCTTCCACTCCCCCCTGCCAGCTGCACCATCATGACCTGTGGTCCTATGAGCTGTCCGGGAGACCCACCCAGCGGTCCGCATGTGCCCCGAAAACTCAGTGGGAAGGTTCTCTGCAGAACTTGGTGCATTCAGAGAGGTTTGGAGAGGGCAGCAAAAAGCCCAAGAAGACAGCAAGCGACCATTCTGCAGCCTCATGCCAGGAGCAGAGGTGTGCATTTCCCACATAAACACGGAATTTGGCACTGGGTGGAAAATTCCATCGTCTGAAAAAGCTCAGGATGAACCAGTGCAGTACAAGGGATCAAGTGTTAGATTTGGACTAGGAAGTCGTCCTTACTCAGCCTCGCTGGGTGGCCTTAGGCAAGTCTCTCCTCCACCTTCCAGCAGCCCTAGGGCAGAACTACACCCTCCCTTGGCAAGTAGACAGCCATAAATCCATGCATGCAAAACTAATACAAATATGGGGTGGAGCAGGCATTTTTAAAGGAAAGGGAGTCAGCATGATGGCTTCACCCAATCTTGCTTGCTGATTCTCCCCTGTAAAAGGATCTCTTTGGCCAGGGATGTACAGTAAACAGGCCACCTTCTACATTCAGCCTGCTGGCCTTTTCTTTCTTTTTGCAGAACTCCCCCTACCCCACAACACTAAATATGCACAGCAACGACAGCAATAAAGCCATACTTTCATTGTCAAACAATGTATTCAAGGGACACACTCCTTGTTTTAAATCAACATTGCAATGTCTGGTTGTTTTGTACAACACCTTTTTGGTTTAGGACAGGTGCTTTGTTTGACAGCAAAATTGTGACTTTTCTGTCATTGCTCTGGATCTTGGTAGCAATTCTGGAGAGGGTCTGACCTATGCTAAATTTCAGGAAAGTGGAAGATAAAATAGCCCTTGGGTCAGAAGAATTTCCCCATTCCAGAAATGAAAAGTGTTCTTGCCCCCAGTATTTTTAAAGCACCAAGTATACACAAAATAGCATTTTGTTAACACAAGGCCCATCCTACATCCAGCCCTCCCCTCTCTCTAGCAACTATTACGCAGAAGCCCTCGCATTCGACCAAACTTTAACTGGAGCTCTCAAGAGGTTTCAGACTACAACTCCCAAGCATTCCTAACTAATTCGCCTGGTGTCGAGCTTATACTCTTTTTGGCGCCAGGTCAAAACCTTTTTATTTAACCATTATTTTAAAAATTAGTATTTTAATGCTACAGTCGTGTTTTATTGGTTATATGTTATTTATTGTTAGATTGTTTTTAAGGTATTTAATTTTATTGATTGTGAGCTGTCCCAATATGCCACGCATAAGGGACAGCATATAAAAGTTTTAAATACATAAATAAATGGCCATGCTGGTTGAAGCTGGAGGGAGCTGAGGTCCAAAACATCTGGAGACCACCAGTGTGGGGAAGGCTTTCCCACACTCTCCCTCTGCTGTCCCAGCAAGATGCATCCCATCCTCCTCCTCCTCCTCCTCCTCCTCCTCCCCCCCCCCGACACTTCCACACCCCACCTCCCAATCCAGTACCAAGATTGTTGGTTGGGTAGCGCTTGCGCAGGCGCTCCGTCAGCCGCGACACCCTGCTGCGCAGCACCTCGTTCCTGCTCATAAAGGGATTGTCAGGAAGCCCCAGGTCAAATTCTCCCGAGCACTGGGAGATATCGTCATCCTCCTGGGGACCATGGAAAGGAAAACTTAGGAAGGTGGTGACAATACATACACAACATCTATGGAATACTCTGAGGCAGGAGGATTACAGCCTGCTGGAAGGCATCAGGCAGAGACACGGCTCTGAAGACATGAAGAAGCCAGGCCAGCCTTGAGAAAAGATGCCAGGTGGCAAAATGCTGAGCCCCAGTGGAAGGGTCGCAGCTGAGCTTCCAGTCTAAACAAGGAACTGGGGCAGGATCTGGGCAACGAATGCAGTGAAGGCTACATTCAGAGACACTGGCTTTGCACAAGGGATGGGAATCAAAGCTGGAGCTGGCTTGACAGTGGGCAGCCTGGCCTTTGCACTCACCATTACGAGCAGCTGGGTCTCCTACTCCCGCAGCAAGAAGAAAAGACGAGAGATGACGGCCAGAAGAGAGAAAGCAGTTGAACCCAGCCCATGCCAACTTTTATGGCATGCCCTTCACCATGAACAGAGCCTGCAGGCATGGGGGATGAGTGGCCCTCCAGATTTTGTTGGACGGCACATTCCATCGACCCTAGCCAGCCCAGCCTTTTCCACTGGTTGGTGGCAGATGTGGTCCAACAAGATCTGGGGGGGGGGGGGCACACATTCCCTGCAGCATTCTAAAGTGCCCCTCATCTCTGTTCCCCAAACTGAGATGCTGACTGCATCAGAGACACTGGCTCTCCCTGGCCGCCTACCACTCCTCTCAGTGGAAGGATGAAGGGTGCCTTCTTCCCCTTCTAGCCCAGCAACACAGCCTTATCGAACCCCAGCACAGACCTCAATGGCATCCTTGAACTCATCATCAGGCTCAGCCTCCTCTGCTTCTTCCACACTGCCAGGGGTCAGATCCTGCAAGGAAACCACACAATGGAATTCATAAATCGAAGGGGGCAAAGGAGATATGAGCACATGAGAGAGTGACAGTGAAGCCAGGATGGGCCCTGCCCATTCCTACTTGGATGCAAGAGCACAAGGAAGTTCCTGTCGCTTGATGGTTACCGCTTGATGGTTACCGTCAAGGCAGCTTGTATGCAAGGCCCCAAACAACACGAGAAATTATTGGGGTTCAAGTCCTGATGCATCTCGGGGAGCAGCAGAAAGGAACAACCTTTGCAGGGACAGGCACCAAAGACAGTGTGCAGTGTTAAGAGAGGAAGAGAAGGGGAGACTTCAGACTGTGTTGAAAAGGTTACTACACTTCAAGCAGCAACTGAAGGAATTAAGTCAGACGACAGACACAAATTCCGTGACGATGCATGGCCTACCTGAGGCCACACCTTTCAACAGAAGGCTGAAGAGGCACTCCAGCAAGCCTTCTTCCTAAGGCCCAGACATGTGGAAAGTAGGAAGGACAAGGAAAGAAGAAAGCTTCTCCCATTCGCCCATCTTGAGCTTACTTTGTAAAATACAGCTACTGCTGCACAGCTGAGGATAATAAGAGCTGTGGTCCAACACGTCAAGAAGGCCCTGGGTCAAGGAAAGCTGACTTAAGGCATCTGTACAGAAAGTAGAACTGACATGCACGCTTGTGTTCTGTGCCCATGGCTGCAGGTCAAGAAAAAACTCCAAAAGCCACCCTGCTGGTTGAACTATGAGCATCCACAGGCATTGGAAAAAGACAGAAGTAAGCTGCCCTGATGTCTGCATAAAATCTTTTATCTACAATTGCTTGGAAGGGAGAATTGCAAATCCAAGGCTTCCTCTACCCCACCAGTACTCCCTCCATGTCTCACCTCCATACTAGTGGGTGTCGGTGTCTGGTCTGGCAGGGTTCCAGCCCCCGTTTCTCCAGCATCCAGCTCAACAGGCTCTGGATCCTTAGCAATGGGCCTTAGGCCCAAGCGTTGCTCAACGGCAGACTTCAGCACCAGCAGCACTGGGGAAAGAGCAGGCAATGGCCAGATACTCCCAAATATCCCAGGAAAGCCTTCCAGCAGACAGCCCAAGCTTTTGGCACCACAAGAATGACATGCCATTATTCAAGCCCAAGTCCAACCCAAGTACCCAGGAAGTAGATGCTCACAGAACAGTAACTACTGCCCAAGTTTAGAACAAAGACATACAGAACAAAGGTAGCCTGGCATGAACCCCTACAGCATGCTAACACACCCGACTCCCTGGCTGCATTCATTAGACCTATAATCACCCACTCACCTACTAAGCAGGGGAAAAATTAAGACCAGGTTCAAACAAAATGACAAGCAATAGTCAGGGGTTCAACCCACAATGAGCACAGGTTCCTGTATTGTCTAAACCCAGTATAAATGTATTGAGTGCTGTGGCAAATAGCCTCCAGTACATTTTTTAAAGCACAAAAGCTCAGAGCCTGAAATATTCCATGAACTCCTGCAAACTTACTTTCTTTTGCACCTCTTTGCTGCTATTTACCAACAATAAGCCAAATGTTCAGCCCCCGCAAGCTGGTTTTCTATTGAACATTTGTCCCACCATGAAGCGTGGCTGTTCTCAGGAAATTCAGCACTCTACTTCACATGGGAATGGAGGAGTTCTAATTTTCACACATGCCCCACAAAGCTGAAAAAAGCTGAATAACCTTATTGATAGCCCCACACTATTCATAGCCCCGTGACTGCTGATTCAGTAACCTTTCAAAATCAATTCAGAGTGAGGAAGCATTGCCCTCACTCGAAATGGATATTGGGGGGAAAGTTGTATTCTGAAAAGATTCGTCCCTCTTTGCAGCCATTCCACATCTGTGAGAAGAAGTGTGCATTTCATGCAGCAGGGAGAGCAAATGCCCACAAATCACCTTCAGCTAAACAGTCAATGGCTCTTTATGCTGCCCCTTGTGAGGGACCACAGTTCTGTCACTGCTTCCCACTGTGACATTTTGCAATGAAAGAGGTGTTCCATGTCAAGTACCAGAGTTATACCTAGAGAATGGAGTTATTATTTGGATCCCATTACACTGAAGTATTTTTGGGACTGGGGCAAAAGAAAAGAAATGCAATTCTACCTCCTTCATCAACATTTGCAATCAGCATCACACACCTACCACTTACACCAGTTCCATTTGAAACATCAAGTCGAAAAAGGGATAAGTAAAAGATTATCTCCAGCCACTCCAGTTTTCTCTCCCAGAATTCCAATGGGACAGATCAGCTCCTGGGAGAAGTATAATCTCTTACCTCGATAAAAGGCCACATTACCCAGGAAGAGTGCATTGTTGAGAAGAACGAAGACCCAACACAAAGGCAGCAGATAAAGGGCACAAACTGACCCCATCAGCATCCCATAAAACCTGAGCAGAGGGTGGGAAAAGAGCACAGGGGAATGGCACACTTGGGAATCCAAACAAGAGCTCAGGAAGCAACTTGGGCTTGTCTGGACTACCCTCCCTCCTGTACACCAAATCCTAACTCCAAGCTTACCTGCCACCTGATACCCGGCCCTGAAACCACTTGCTGTGCCAATGTGACCGGGCAGCATCCCCCTGAACCCCAGCCACTCTGACTGCATTATAAGCCTTCCAGTATCAGGGGAAAGCAGGGAGCCAGCTCATCTGTAAAGTGCTCAGAGTGGCAGCAATGTTCCCACCCCTGCAAAGCAGCAAGGCCTTGGCTGCTGCCTCCAGCGGCCCCAGTGCAAGCAATGCTTCAGCTTCCAAGAAGAGCTCCCCAGGCCAGACTCACTGTGAGGACAGCGAAGGGTTCTCCCAATAGAGGACGCGGTAGACTGCCTCACAGCCTCCGCATAGCCGGCTCAGGAGGGCTTCCAGTTGGATCAGACTGAAAAGAGATAGCAGCCACTTCAATCAGTTCCTCATGCCCCCATTGATAGCAAAACAAAGGCAACAGCCTCACCTGAAGTGGAAGCTATAGCCTTCCAGGTGTTTTGGTCTACAAGCTGCCCACCCCTGCTGTAGGGTTTACTAGCCACAGTTGGAATAATATCCAAAAGTGGATAGGTAGCTAGTAAAGCTGTTACAACAAGGGACTCCCACACACCCCATAACCAGCCTGTCCATAGAACGGCTACAGCATTTTGGACCAACTGAAGTTCCCAAACACTTTACAAAAGACAGCCTCATGCAGGCTGCACTACAGCAGTTCAAAGACACTGGGAGCTCAAGAGGGCTCACCTGGACTATGTATTGTTCACCTGGACTGTGTATTGTTTTTAAAGCGGGGTACAGAATTTCTTTTCCCAAAGGCTGAATTCCATAACAGAGAGGCTTTCAGGGGCCCCATTCAGTGGTTGGTGAAGCTAAGGGTAAGAGGCAGGGCGAAAATACCACCACACTGTTCCTTAAAGTTGTAACTGCCAGAATAGGACAGAAAAATTGCACAAAAGCTGGAAAACCACCAAATGTTCAATGGCTGGAAGAAATGGGATAGGGCCAAGGCAGGGAGCATGGCTGTATGGGAAGGGTCCAATTTAGCCTTTGGCCCTGAGTTCCTGCTTGTACTGTATACAATCTTACAGTTTTAAATTGTTATAAACTATGCCAGATTTAAACTGTTACAAACTCTCCTGAACCAGAAAGGTAGGATAGAGATCCTATGGCCCCAAGCAGCATCTTAAGGGCCAGAGGATCTGGAGGATGCTTTGGATTCCCAGACCCAAGTTTGGGAAAGAGATCTGAGCTCAGAAGTGGGGATCGCTCTAACCATCCTTAAAGCCAGTGTGGAAAGAACTGCAGTGGCTGCTTCTCCACGGTCATAAGAATGACCTCATAAAAGGAGCAGGCATTCTTGGGGGTGGAGAGTGTAGGAGACCAAGCCTGCCAGGACATGACATATCCTACCTAGCAGGACACGAGGCTCCTCTCCATCTGAGGTTCTACAGCCATAGCCAAACAGCTGAAAACAGCCACCTAGGAGATTTGCAGGGCAGGAGGAGAGGGGAAGCAAAGGAAGCCCATGTGGTGTTGTGGATAAAGGCACAGGAATGAGACTCAGGCAATTGGGTTCTAGTCTCCACTCAGCCATGGAGCTCACTGAGTGACTTTGGGCCAGTCACAGACTCTCAGCCCAACCTACCTCACAGGTCTATTGTGAGAATAAGACTGAGAGGAGGAAGAAAATTATGTAAGCAGCTTTGAGTTCCTTGGAAGGAAAAAAGGCAGAATATAAATATGATAAATAATGTTCTCTGTGCTCCTCTTGCCCTGAATAGAATGTTCATGGTTCTATATTTTTGCAGATTACAGCAACCCCATTGGATTGTGTCCTACTGAATGAGCATGCAACATAATTTAAACTTTTAGATTTAGTTTCATTTTCTAGAGGGGAAAATGATCTGGAACGCATTTAGCTACTCTGTCAATCTTATGATCTATGGATAGTCAGATATCAAGTTTTGATACCCTGTACAAAACATTAGCAAAATGACTAGCAGCACAATCAGCTCTGGATAGAGGATGAGGAACAAGAAGTTTGCTTTCATATCGCTATAGCTTTTTCCTATTACAGCCAATTTCTGCCCAATTTCTAAATTCACACACATCCAATAAAGCAGTTGACCTGACCAAATACTGATATGATCAGTAACCATTACATTTTGGCACAGAATATTTCCAAATTCTAAAACTAGAACTGTAAAATCTTCACTTGGACGTCCACACTGAAGTAATACAGTAATGGTGCAATCGAATGCAAGTTTACAAAGGTAAAAAAATCCAATTCCCAGCATATCCCAACCAGTTATACTGTAGGCCTTTTCTCTATCCAAACTTGCACAGGATTGTGCCTTAAGTTAATAACATATTTTAAAAATATCACAATCTATAATTGCTTAAATGAATGCATGCACTAGTAGTGTGTCATGCTCACTGATACTTAACAGAAGTACTAAATCTCAAGTAACAGTTCCATTTAGTTGTGAATCAATGTGTTTTAACAGTGCTATCAAATGATGAAAACACACCTTTCTTTGGCAAAATAACTGCACAAATGGAAACACTGATGGAAATCAATGATTTAAAAATAAAGCATCTTGCTTGGTGATTGAAATCGATCCACTGTTCTGGAAGGTGGACGCACTCTTTTAAGAAGCGGGCAGCAAAGTCATATAAATGCTTAGTAACTCTTCCTCTGCTCAAGACGAGTCGTAAGTCCAACCAGCAGGGACACGTGAGGCCCCCAATGGCTGAACTGAAGTAACACACCTTCGACAACAACTAACCTGTCCACACATTGGTTCCAAGAGCTGCCGAGGTAATAACCTCCCACTATTTTCCACAATGGTAATCAATTCTATGATGTATGCTCTGTAGAGGCTGCACAATTCTTGTCCATATGGCAATGCTGAAGTGCATGATAGATGGAAAATTTGTGATATCACCTGAACATCCCCTGGCCATTTTTGCTCCCCCTTCAGGTTTGATGCATGTGAACTTGCACACCTCTGTGCTTAGCTATTTAGACAGTAACTTCTTTCATACTGTGGGCAGAACAGTAATGATATATAGGGTTGTTTGGGGTCCACAAGCTCATGATTTCCACCTCTTGAATATGCCTGTATAATGTACCTCTTATGGTGTTAGTGCCTGTGCTGCCCTTTGTAATTTGAGAACAACAACTATCTAGTTGTGCACAGCTCTGCACCTCCACACATAAACAGGTGAAGGAAAAACTATGGATCAGTATGCACTATTGTCCACAATTTGCAAGTGCAAGTTTGAAATAGCCATGAAGGAAAAAACATAACAAACAAATTATTCCAAGAAATTAAAAAAGCAAATGAAAAATGGCTGATCAAACATGGTTGAAAGTCACTTTCATATATCTAAGGTCATGAAATGTGAAGGACAGGAATGGCTGGAAACTAATTCCAGAAGTCAAGGGAATGCAGAAAGGTCATAAAACTGGTTCCATACACTACACCATTCCCACTATTTAGGGTTAATCATTTGTCTACACTGGAAGTGTACAAGCAGAAACAGCACAAGTGTCAGAAAAATTGTCACAAAGATCAGAAAACTAGCAGACAAAAGGTGAAGGTCACAGGAATGGGAGTAATTCACATCCAATCTGAGTGTGTGAGATGGTGTGAAATTTTAAAAAAGCTTTAGTGTGGATTCAGCCTATGGAGCTACTTTTGAGCACAAGCAAGCCTGTCAGCGAACAGCAAACACTTCAAACAGTTCCCAGGATTCACCTGTTTTGCCATCTCTCCCCAACACCACTTAAAACAAAGTCTTGTGGCACCTTGAAGACTAGCAAATTTAATTGGGCATAAGTTCCCATGGACTACAGCCCATTCCATTAGAAACAGAATGATATCATGAATTTCAGGTATATATACCATACATATGGTGTGGGTAAACAATGATGTCAGAAGAAAATTAATGCAGAATTAATGTAGCAATAGCAACATTGCTAAACTACAATCCCCCATCACACACACTGTATATATAACTCTTGGTAACACTCTACATATCTGATGAAGAGGGCTATAGGCCACAAAAGCTTACACTAGAATAAATAACATTTATGCCACAAGTCTCTGTTGCTTTGGTTGTGATAGACCAACACAGCTATTCCTCTGTAAGCTGCTACAACAGCACTTACAAGCCCTTCACTTCAGCCACAGCCTCATTTCGAGAAAGCTGAACTTTTCTCACATCCTCACGCCGCACACTGTGGTACCTCCGACGTGCCAGCTCTTCTTCACTCAGGCGGATGCGGGACGTTTCCTGTAGGTAGCCCAGAATGGCAGGCACCAAGATCAGTAGGGCAAACAGCCCATACCAAGCAGCTAGAAAGGAAGGTGGAATGCAGGGGAGGATTAGACCAGCGGCAGTGCTTATAAAATCATCGGCTAACTTTACTACTACTGCTTAAACTACCACATCACAAGAGGCCTGTCTGCTGCCAAATACAATATTCTCCCACTGCAAGTATTGGCCAATCCTTAAAGTTTTCCCCCAGTGAAATCACATTGGCTTAATCCCACTGCCCAGCTCAGACACATGACTGGAAGGCAGTGCATTGGTCACTCAGGTCCCCACTGTGCCTCAATAGTTCCTATGTGCCTCACCTTCACTCAGAGTCAGCAGCAGAAAGTTGAGCCCTAGACAGGTAAGGAGGGAACAGAGTGGCATCTGCCAGCTGCGGAACAGAAATAAACATTTATCATCATCCCCAAGAGGAAGTTTTCACTCTGGCATTTCCAATGCAGAGCTCATGGACCTCTCTTTTGGTGTCTGCCAGGTTCCTGGCCCTTCGTGATTTTTCATTTTATTTCTTACAATTGTTTTAATTACGTTTTACGAAATAGAAGGTTGACATTTTGATTTATAATTTTATTTATAACCCATTGTGTTCCCCTTGCAAGGAATCCAAGGCAGCTTACATGGTCCATTTTATTACACCTTTCCATTTTATTCTCACAATAATCCAGTGAGGTACTTTAGGCTAAGAGTCAGTGACTAGCCCAGAATCATCAACTAAACTTCACAAATGCAGGAGGTGTAGAACCCGTATCTCTCTACTTCCCATCCAAAACTCTAACCATGACACTCGCCCATTATAAAGTGATATGCTACCCTCTAGCACTGTCTTTATTTGGGTTGAGCAAGTGGTTTAATGTCTTGGAGTTCAGCCCCTATCTCAGCTTTGTACTTAGGTTTTTGGCATGTTACTTTGCTTTCACCTCATCAGCGTGACTTCCAAGGAATTAGCATTTTGTGTCTGGGCACCCCAACATGGTACCCATTATATGAATGTGCAGAATCTTCCCCACAATAGCCAATTTAGCATCACACCCACCTTTGACTTAGCTGCATTAATGCTCTTAATGAGAGTGGAAGAGGGACAAAAGAGTACCATAGCCCATAAGGGAGAGGTTGAGATTCAGAAGGAGGATTGAAAAGATCGAAAAGAAATGCCCACTGCAATCCATGAACCTTCATACGTGTGGCCACTGACCAAGCCACACTGAGTTACTAAGTCCCACTGAAGTTCCCACTGTAGTCAGCCTGGGATCTCTTGGCAGAGGGATGGGATGGCACATGACTTCAAAACTAAGTAGTAGGCCACAAAGATTTCCCTTCTCTTGTCCTCCCATAAGAAAAAGCAATGCTTGCAAAGGGTCTGTGCTTCTCTGCCTTTAGTAACAGCAACCAACCAACTGTCTCTAGCTTATTTGCAATGGAGTAGCTAAATAGATAAGCACCCACCTGAGCAGGAACCACACCCCTTCAGCAATATCCTGCAATGGTTCCAGGTACAGCTCCAGCTGCTTATATGACACTACCAAATTGAAGAGGTCCAAGGAAGGGGGTTTGGGGGTCGAGGGTGAAACTGGCTGGGTGTCAGGTGCTGTAGGGCTGTCCCGTCCATTCCCTCCTGTCACTCCTCCACTCTCACGCTCTGACAGCTGCATACTGCACATAAAATTGTCAATGGATGCAAACAAGCCAAACAATTATCTTCCCACCATTGTCCCTGTCCCCATCTGAAAGAAATAATAAATTATAACTTCTGAGGATTGACTGCGCTCAAGGCACTCCATGAAAAAAAAACCTTCACTAAAACTGGGCAAGTCTTAGAAACAGAGATACCTATGTCTCACCTCTGCCCCACTGAAGCACCCAAACCTGCATGAAACAAAAAGCTGTAAAATAAATCTCCAAGCATTCCATGGACAACCAGAAGGCTACACAAATGGTATTCTCCTTTAGATATCAATAAAGAGGCGAGAACAGGGAAAGCATGCTGCCTACAATCCTATACCATATATATCAAGTCACATGCATCTATTAGTAACTCTGCCCATAAACCTGTACTGAAGTGGAGAGTTGGAAGAGAGTGAACCACAATTACGCCAACCTTTGCTAAATGTGCAGATGTTTTGAACTACAAATCCGATAATTTCTGAGCAGTGGCCATGCTATCTTGACCTGATAGGAGGGAACCAGGCTGGAGAAGGGTATACTATGACAAAGCAAGGACAGACTAGTTTGCCTTATCGTCTTCTCCAGCTTATGACCTCCAGATGTGCTGGACTACTATTTCCAGTACCCCTGTTCAACCATGCTGGCTAAAGGATGCAGGAAGGTAGGGCCAGAAAATCTGGAGTCACCAGGTTGGAGGAAGCTGCTCTGTTACATGATCCTGAGGTTAAAGAATGTCTACCGACACTACTGAAAGTTGTTGGGTGCATCTAAGGCAAAGCCAGATACTTGTGAAGAGGGCAACTAGGACATATTTTACATATTAATTCGACATAAGAAATTCCACTATGTGGATCACTTAAGTTCATTCAAAACAGGAAGAAGCAAGGAAAGATGCTTTGAACTATGAACTGCTGGGGGGGGGGGTGGAGAGCAGGAACAATAAATTTACCAGCAGACTAAAAGATTGTTCCCAGCAATCCCCTCATTCCTCTTCACCCTCCCCCTCCTCCTCCCCCTCCTCCTCCTCCTCCCAGAAGGGCTCCTGTGCCTTTTTAAACACCTGCCTGGCACAATTATATTCCGCAGGTGATGCTTTCCCTATCAGTTCACGTCCACACCAAGGATTCACCTGCTGAATTTCTGCCTGCCAATCAGTTAACGGCACGACAGTCCTCACAGGAAGCAATTCAACGACACCAATTCACAACTTAGACAGGGAGCCTGGCGACGCCCCCAGCCCGCTCTTCCACCCGCAGTCCGGGGCTTCTACGCTCAGCGCTCCCTCCCCGGGGTAGGGCAGAGACCCGCCTCCGGCGGACCAGGAGGAAGCGGCACACCGGCCCCGGATACCCTCCCCCACCCCGCCGCAATCCCGGAGAGGGAGAAAAGGCGGAGCCTACGTGCCACTGCCGAGCTCGCCCGACCTCACCCCTCTCTCCGAGCCACCGGAGCCACCGCCACTTCCTGGGAGAAGGACCCGGCTGTGCTCGGAGCCCGCTGCGCAGCGTACGATCCGAGCGCAGCGACAGCCCGGCTCGCCCACCCACGGCGTCTGGCCAATCAGAGCGCGGGAAGCGGCCACCGCGCCGCACCACAGTCCCCAAAACGCTCCGCCTCCTGTCGGCCGGGAGCCGCTGGTCCTGAGCCCGGGGAAGGGTGGCCGCCTGCCCCCCCCGCCCTTCGGGCTGCTGGCGCTGCAGCCCTTGCAAGTCCCCGAGGCCGCGCCGTGGCCAGGAGAAGGCACTCGCTTTCGCCACAGGACGACGTACCTGATTGTGCATCCCTCCCCCGCTTATCTGCTCCAGTGATGGTCCAGTCTTCTTGCCCCAAGAGGGCCTTGAACTCCGCTAACCAGGGCCGAAGTTCCATGAAGGGATGAACCGAAAGCACTGCAGGCTGGTGACGCCTCTGTCACAGGGCCCCTTATCCATCGCAGATTTTATTTTGAGCTTTATATACGCTATCCACGGTGCTGAACCCCATCCCCCCCAGAAAAGTTCATGGATAACTCTGATGAAAAGCTCGAAATAAAAGCAGCAGTGGATGAGAAGCCCCAAGGATATAGAAGTCACCAGACACCTCCAGGTAAAATGGATAACAGGAAGAATGTCCATGGGAAACAAATTCAAAATTCATAGCTGGGCAACACCTGTATTAGGACCAACCAAAATTCTACAAAAAACCCCAAGCTATCAACTTCTTCAGAATTCTTTCTTTTAGGTTAGGCAATGCCAAAAGCAGCAGAGCGGGTACGAAAACTCAGTTGTGCCAAAAGTGGGTCGTTGCTGTCATACTCCTCTGCTTTTTCTGTCTCCTAACCTGATGAAGAGTTCTGAAGAACCTAAAATTTGCACTTTTTAAAATTTTGGTTGGTCCTAATAAAGGTATTGCCCAACTGTGAATATTGGATTTTTTTTCTCATTGACTGGTATTTTAAGGTGCAATCCTATGCATGTTTAGACAGCAGCAGCAGCAACAACAGAAAAGCCTACAAGTCCCAGCATGCCCCCACCAACCATGGCATGCTGGGAGTTATAGGCCAGTTTTTCTGTCTAAACATGCAGAAAGACTGCATTCTTAGGTATTTTATTGTTGAGCAGCATGTATGTAATAAATATATATTTGAAGACTTTTTAAATTGAATCCATATGTGGAATCCATACAGTACAGATGTAAACAAATTTGAATAAACCCTTGTAATTCAAATTGACTATCAAGGCCACACACAAGATTGCACTTAACCGTAACTTTATAAGAAAGGTACAGAAGCTCAAGTCAAGACCAAATTTAGCTCATCTGGGTTCTCCATCTGACCATATGCTGTTCCTCATATGACTTCACCCCCTTTCTAAAAGATATTGATGGTGAATTTTGCCCCAGTCTGCAATAAGCATTTAAACTAAAATGTGTTAGTATTTTTCTTCCCATTTCTTTTGCCTTTGGTCCCACCCACCCTTGGAATAGGGCCCTGAAAAGATCCCCCCAAATTGCATTGGCCCCTGGCCTGAAAGAGGTTCACTACTTCTACTTTATACCATAAAGTATATGGTGTCTAAAATTGCTGCCAAAATGCTTTGAAAATATATCGCAGCCATTCTTAGGCCTTGCCTTAACTAAAGAATAAATCAATAAGACATCAGAAGCCCTTGAACTTCCTTGCAGGCAAATTATTTGGGCCGCTTCAGAATTCTACGCAAAGCTGCTGGATTCACTTATTACACTTGACAGATGGGAACAAGAAGAACGCAAAATAATGCGACTAATCATAATAGAAGCTGCAATTTCAACCGATAACCACAAGGTGGCTGTCCAGAACAGGTCTTGGAAGCTCACCGAGTGGACCTGGAACAAGACACAAGGAATTGGTAAAATCTTTGTTGTTCTTGGTCGGACAAACCAATCCCCGCCAACTCCTCTGGAAGAAGAAAAATAAGCACAAGTCAATTCAGAGTTTCTATTTTTGAAATATTCCAGAACACACAGTCGTACTCCAGCAGCACTGGAGAACAACCAAAACGTCATAAAATAGTGAGCAAGCTTTTTGCTCCTGAAAAATGACCCATCTACGAATTTTGAGATGAGAACAGCAAAAACCGCACATAAAGACGCACGGTTTGCCATAAATCATTCCAACCTGTTGCCCTCCAGATCTCTTGGACTGCAATTCCCCGGAAGCATATCTGGAGAGCGCAGGGTTGGTGGAAGAAGTTGTACAATCTCAGATTATCTTTTCTTCCCCCACCGCGTTCTCTATTACTCCCACGCACACCTGAATTTCAGTGTTCCTTCCTTGCTCCAAGAATGTTATATTCACGGTCTGCATCCGCCCAACGTGGCACTACTTTCAACCTAAAGAGCTGAAAACTGATGTAAGGGTGTGTAATATATGACCGCATCGCACACGTCCAGGAAGGAAGATACACCGTTTCAAGGAGATCGTTATTTTAAAAACAAGTTTTAAACGCAAAGCCTGCGTTTGCAACCGCGCCCGCCCTCCCTGGTGCAATTTGGCAGCGGTGATGCACGCGGAGGCCCGAGGCGAGACTAAAAGAGGCCGAGCAAGTGGGGCAGAGGGCGGAGCTCCGGAAGGTTTCCTGCCCCTTCTGACGTCCCGCAGGGAAGTGGACGAAGCTGAGCGAAATGTGTGTATTTTGCAGACATACTCCTCGTCTGACCTTCGCCTGTACCAGGAATTAGCAGTTAATATGTCGTATTCAGCGCTTTCCATTCGCAGTGTGGGTCATTTGTTTTGTCACATATGCCATGGTGGAATACTAAAGAGCTTTTGTTGATCTGAAGGGAAGCGGCAGGTTGGCATGGCTTGCATCTTTGTGGGGGGGATGTTGTGGTTGTTCAGCAACAGGAACTGGTCTGCACACAAAAACAGTTCAATGCGCTTGGAAGATGAAGTGTGCCCGAGGGCTGGCAGCTCTTGAAAGCCCTGGCACGATGTATCAAATCCCCAGACTGGGCCCGGGGACTTGATAGACCCCAAACCAGTAACATAACTACGATGCCAGCACTTGGGAGCAGTGGGGTCACTTGCCATTAGAGGGGCACCACAGGGCACTGTAAACTGCACTAAAATGTTGCTGCCTCCTTCAGCAACGTGCCTGTATACCCAGTTGCTGAGGAGCTTGGGCAGAAGGAGGTCTTGCCCCCATCCTGCCTGAGGGATCCTGTGGGCAGCTGGTTTGCCTCCATGTATTTGGAGTGCTGGACTAGATGGACCTTTAGTCTGAGCTGGATCTTTCTTATGTTCATATGTGGAATGATCTTAGGTTTGGTGCAACAGATTACCCTAAATATACCTTGGCTATATCTTTGCAAATAGTAAATCATTCTTGGGTGATTAAAACAGTTTGAAATCAATTAAAGAGGGAGCTGAGTAACTGCAAAGGAATTACAAAGTAATGTGTGTTTAATGTTATTTATGAAAGTTTACAGCTTGGGTGGCAGGTTCCATCCTACCAACAGCAAGCAAATTTATTTATTTATTTAGCACTTTTATAGACGCTCATAGCCACGTGGCTTTTGAAATGCTTTTCCAAAAATAGTATCTGGTGCACAACTGTTTGCATCATCTAAAAAATATGAGATGCTTTTTCTTAGAACTGTGTTTTGCTCAGGGACAAGTTTTTGCAGATATAGTTGGCAAAACAGATATGATGAACAAGCTAACAGTGTAGTCCTATATCTTTATGTTACACCGGCTGGATCTGTACTGAGCCATTTTTTGCACTAGCAGAGCCCAAAGCTTCATTTTTTGTGGTGCAGATGTCAGTACCGCAACATGGTTGCACCTCTGGCTATGTTGCTCTAGCAAAGAGGGGTGAAGCTGGGGTGCAGTGAGAGAGAGATGGGAAAACTGTGCTCACTCAGGTGCAGGTATTCTTATGGGTGTCAGCATATTATGCCTACAAAAGAGGCGGTGAATGTTAAAACATGAAGTGGGGAGCCTTACATGGCTGGCCCCACCCTGTTTCCACAACCATAACTGAAGGGTAATCAGCCTGCAATCAAAGCAAAGACCCAACCAGGGAAGAAACATACATTAAGGCAGATGACATGAGACAACATCAATTCTGGGCTGGATCAAGTCTTAGTACTACTTAGATTCACTAAAATCCGTGGGGTTTATGTTACTTATAGCTATGTTCAGTCCCATTGTTTTCATGTGTCTGAGACTAATTCTGAATCCAACACTTTGCCCCCATCTCCGGAGAACTTAAGCATACAAATGCAAATGTTGGTGATGGGAGTATTGGTGAAAGGGAACATACATAACAAATTAGAAAGTCGCATGACAGGCTTTGCATGATCACCACAACCTATCATGGCTTGTTTAAGCCATGGGGTGATGGCATGCCAACTCCTTTTGAATATTCAAGCTGTGGTAGACAGGCACCATAGATGATCATGTTGCTCAAACCCAGTGAGGGTGGCTTAGGCAAGGGTTAAACACCTACCTGGGCTTGGTGGTGGGCATGGTGCAGACTGGGAATTACTGACATTTTCTCCTTCATGCGTTGCTAGTATGCTCTGCAGACTTTGAAGTTTCAGATTCACACTTGCTATCCCCAGCTTTTGCATTAGACATCATTGTTGCTGGCAAAACATCCCAGCAGTGAACTATGCCTTAATGCCCTGAATAGGCCACTGGAACAGCTCCTTGTGGTGGCCTGAACTGTTTTCTCATCACATCCCCCCACCCCACTCCAACTTTACCAGTGATTTCTCCTGCTGTGACCTTTGAAGTGTGATGTCCTGAGCATTCTGGATATTGTCTTGGTTAGAGCAAAGTTCTCCCAGTGGATCTTGACTCCATGGAGGAGGAGAGATGATGTAAGCTGCCTTGAGCCCACTGTAGGAAAAAGGCAGGATATAAAGGGCACAATATCCTAGAGAACCTCTCAGGGCATGGCTCCCACTGTCTGGGCCTGGGAGCTGACTGTTTGGATTGGAATGTCAATCCTTCCTTCTCTGTCTGGGCCTGTCTGTTTGCCTAGCAAGACACTGGTTGTTAACAGGCTGCTGCAAGAGCGAAATTCCTCTCTGGGCAGATGTCTGGAATTTGTGGCCACATGGTGCGTCTGTTGCTGCCCTCCCAGAGGTGCACTTGTAGACTTCCATCATGACAGTGTGTGGTCATACAAATACACGCACACATGGAACAGCAGCAGTGGTACACTTATTAAGATCAACCTCATTGCAATCTTATGCATAAAGCAAGTTTCAGTGGACCCAGTGGCGTTGTCTTCTGCCCTGGAAGTTTAACTTGTAAAAAACACTGCGGTTTGCCCAAAGATTTTTAGCCAGCAGAAACACATCCTTTAGTTTCCATTAGAAACTTAAACCATCTTGCAAATCAGTGCTTCCATTTAACTGACTAGCTTGAAGTAGAAGCACCATCAAAGAAAAGCAAACAAGCCTCTGATCATTATCCTTATTTTCTTCCTGTCCCTATGATAGTCTGTTCCCATATAATAGTAAAATGTGTGAGCTCATTCTCTTGACAGAGCAAAGAGTGTCTATCAATTACCCTGATGCCCTGGCAAAAGACAGCATCATTCCTGCCGTGACAGAAGTCCTGGAGCTGCGCTCCTCCCCCAGGCCACTGCGCTCCCCTCCGCAGTGTGCTTCCCTGAGACTGGAATGGCGTTGTGCTGTCTCCCTGGCTCCGTTGCACCTGCTCTATGTGGCAGAGTACGCAGCAGCTAGAGCAAAGTCACGAAGTCTGCCGGTACCAAGCACCGAGTAGTGGTGTGTACCAGGCACCCTGGGTGCGCCATCAGTGTGCAGTGCTGAGTGATGGGTGGTTATGAATGCGTGGGAGCGTCAGATGCTATTGTGCATTATCTCTTGTTTCTACGGTACTATTCGGTTTTCTACCTTGCAGCCTGGAGTATGTAGAGTTGAGATCGCATTAAGCCAATGCAACTGTAGCATGAATAGTCGCCGGCATAGTGGGATTACACGATTACACAGCATGATTTCTTTAATACAGTTCTTACCTAGACTGCACAATCTTCTTCTAGCGTTTGCAGAATTCTATTCCAAATATGGCTTAGATTCTAGAATCCTTATCCATGAATATAGCTCCCTAAGGCCAAAAGATGTTTGGATGTTCAAACCATCTCCCCTATAAAAAAAATCCTCTCGGGGAAGAAAAATGCCCTGAATTTTTGATACAGGGAAAATACATACTATCTGAACTGCTGCTTCTTACAAGCAACAGTGAGAAAATGCAGGGAACTCTTGTGGGGGCTTTTCACACAATCTCCAAATCAGATTTCCACCTTGAAATACACTGGTCTACAGATTTTGGGAAATTATCAACTTCTGAGATAAAATATGCTAATTCTTACATATTTTGATTAGATGAATTAGAAAACAGGTGATAAAGTGCTGGCTGGCTAAAGTTTTCAAGATATTTCACAATAAAGATTTATACACAGGCGAGTATATTTGCCTACAAGGGAGGGAGGTGTCTGATGATCATGATGCCTTGTATCTTCTTGACAAATTACAGTAGAACAATGAAAATGGTACCACATGGAAGTGTATAAATTTATCTTCACTTTGAGACTAAAGATTATTACCTAACTGTAAATTATTGTTCTTTTATCGCAAGGTACATTTGTCTTGGTCGGATCTACATATCATACAGTTACATCTGGTGGCTTGTGAAAGTGTCATTGCCTAACATTTCCAAGGAACAGTTGCATATTTTCCCTCAGAAGCCAAGATGCCTCAAAACTGTAAACAATGCAGATAACTTTTGCTGCATTTGTGGCGAGGTTATATTTGCATCTCAAAAGTGCAGTATGATAGCAATGGTAAAAAAAAGGCATACCACCAATATTTTGGATGCAAAATAGGGGATCAGGACAAGAGTTGGGGCCCTCATTATTGTTGCATTAAATGTGCAACTTATCTCCATCACTGGATAAACAAGAAGAAAAAGTCCATGCCTTTAGCAGTCCCAATGGTGTGGAACCCACCAATCATAGTAGCTTTGCATGGTTCTCCCAGTTGCAAAAGGGATCTCAAAAAAGAAGAAGTGGACCATGGAATATCCAAACATTCCATCCACACTGCATCCTGTACCCCATGGTGAGGACTCGCCAATTCCAGATCCACCGGAATCCTACTCTCTAGACTCAGATGATGATAAAGATGATGAGCAGGATACAGCTGATCTGGGGCTGTCGATATCAGCGGACCCAAACTTTAGCCCACCGTATGCTCCTCCTGAACCACATCTAATTTCATGGAGTGAACTAAATGACCATTCTCATTGCTATATCACATTTTGTAGAAAAGTCATGAAGCATAATCACACATCCCCGTCATAATTGTGAATCATTTTGATGCAATTTTGACCTGAAGCTGTATCTTGGAAACTGGAGCCAATTAATACTCAGGACTTAATTTTCCTTTATTAGTAACCCAATTCTGGTAAAATTTAGCTACTTTCATTTTCGAGGTTTTCTCCTTGTAGACCAGTGATAGGCAGGAGCATGTAAGGTCTGTCCTACTAGCTGTAACAACTGTGCAAGCCAGAATAGAGACAAGCAGAAAGTGTCTGGTTAAGGAGAAAACTCTACAGCAAGGATGAGGAATCTTTTTCCTATAAGGGGCCAATGACTCATGAGAAAAAAATGTTTGAGGGATGCAGCCAATGGTTGACAGAGCCAAAGGTGGGCGGAGTTTGCAGGATTGTATGGCTTGTTCTTACTCACTTGTGCCCAGACACCAGAAAGAAAAGATGACTGGAATCAGAGACAACTTTTCTATTCTAAGGCTAAAGGGAGGACATAGACCTGGCAGGCCACACAACAGGTGGTGGATCTCACATCTGTGTTCAGGTTATGCTGGCTGGAGGATTCCAGAAATGGTAGTCCAGATGTGCATGGGTGTGGCTTCTGGATTAGCACCCAGGTGCTTTAGGTGGATTTTGGAAAAGCACACAGGTGTTCAATAGCAATGAACGCACAAACACACCTTGAAGGATGGCAGGCTGTACTCCACAGACAACTTTATTAAGAATGTGAATGAGTTCTGAAATTGGGGTGGAGGAATGTAACCTTTGGGACAGAGCCATATTCAGAAAGGATTCAGATACAGGAACTGAGGCACAGGAATTAGAATCACAATGGGAAACATTTAAAACTTAATAAGAACCATCTGGAAAGTCCTAAATATTTAAGTCTTGACAACTTGCCTCATATGGTTTAGTGCATCTCCTCCCACCAAGAACGTCTTAGCCTGGACTTCTTTTTCCAGAGTAGCATAACACAAGATACTCAGTTGAATGGATGCTATAGCCATTCTGCAAGCATATTCCACCATGCCATGTGGAAGGCTCGAGACACATAAAGCATGCCAGTCGCTAAGAGGGAAGCTGCAAACCCCCTGCCTCCCCTCTCCCAGGCAAGAAGATGGGCCTTCCTCTAGCTGGTGGATGGAGAGAGGCGACTCCTGAGTTTCAGCACATTTGAGGTTCAAGACTCCAAATAGAGCAGTGTCTTCACCACCTACAAGGAAAACAGAGCAGTCTTTGACACCACAAATAGGCCACTTCACACTTTTCAAACCTAGCAGTCCCCTGGTTCACACAGGCACCGTGCCAGAGGAATGGGCATAACTACCCTCTTGCCAGGGTGCACGGACCCAGCAAGGGTGAATGTGGCCATGATTAACAAGCCTCCCAGAACCCATGGAAGGCTACCATTTATTTTTAAATTTTTGACCAAATTGCCTTGACACAACCATGCCTGCTGCCTGTCAATATGTTAAGTGAGGTCGTGCCTTCCATAACTAATTATCCCCTTCGGCCTTTCCTCCCCCTTGTCTGCTGCCATTCCATTCAAATATTAACCTGCCCACACCTGAGTGTCCACATGAACACTTGAACAGAACTTTTATTCCTGCTGCCCATTTGGATCTGGCACAAGCTGCTGCTTTTCCCAAGGTGCCCATGGCAGAACACCGCTGGGCATGCTTCCGCCATCCCTCCTGCCCCCCGAGTAGTAGCCCTGCTTTCTGCTTGCCCCCAGGCCTTTCCCAAGCTGATTTCCTCCATATGTTGTGAGCATTAATCCAGCCAGCCTTCCCGTTAACCCAGCCAGCATGGCCACTGGTACAGAATGCCAGGCATTGTAGTGCAAAGCACCTGGAAGATGAAGGAAGCATTTTTTGAAAGGCACTTCTTCCTTTCCTGAATCCAAGCACTCTTACCTCCAAGTTGATGCCATTTCTTGCATTCCCTGGACATCGGTCTTTGCAGCAATGACACGTCCTGCTCATTTGATGTCCTCAGACCAACCCAGGAAGAAGGGTGAATTCCTTTCAGCACAATTGGCATAGAACATTTCTTCTGTGCCCCAGGACAGGAATGTTTCATTTGTCTTGAGCAGCACAATACAAAAGATGAAAATGGCTGAGAGCATTGCTTACAATAAATGTAAACAGGAGGGGGAAAGTTAGGCACATCCAGAAGCTGAAGACAGGTGATTTTGGGGGGACTTCCTGAGTCCTTGTGTTATGAGGAGGAGGACAGGTGAACGGACTTCCCCTTTGGCATTGTTGGGATAGGATTTCTCATTGCTGGGAGAGCAAGACTCCAACAAAAATGAACCTTCTCCACCATTTCAAAACGATCAATATAAAAGGCACTTTAGCTGTTGCATCTTAGCCAAAGGCAAGATTGTTGCACAAGCAGTCCGGCATGATTTGGCACTAGAATTCTGAGCAGTAGTGCTTCTCTATTTCAGAACTTCTCAAGGCAGAAGTGGGGAAATCCAATGTATCCAAGAGCATAACATAGCCTTCTGTAATGATGCGTGGGTTGTAGATCCTGGTTCCACTCTTTCAGTAGTTAGAGGTGTCATGTTTTAACACTGTTGTGCCTGCTCACAAGATATTTTGGTGTACCAAGCAGCTCTGAGTCCTGTTCTCCTGGTAGGCACTGGGAAATTCAGCCACTCTGGACCCTGTCAGGAGCTCTCCATACAATGCAACTGTTTTCTTATTTGTTGCTTAGATGATTTCCCTGCCCTCTGCCCTCTGGAGTCAAATGCCAGCACTGAGAGTACTTTCCTCTGGTGTTGACATTGCAACTGCAGTGCCTATTTGCAGAGTTGGTCCAGAGTTTCTTTTCCCATGCTGCTCTGGAGCAATAAACTCCATGCTTTCTACCACCAAAGTTGGGATTTATGTTAGTGCTTTATGCAGAATAAACTGTGCAAGTATCCCTGGAGTACGGGAGCAGAAGGGAACATGACCTTACCATAAAAGGTGCGCGCTCCATCGTGGAATCTAGAACCTTGCTAGTAAGATGTCTTGCTAGTAAGATGTCTTTTTGAGGCCCTTGATCTTAGGCCTCCTTAAGAAGACTTGGGTTCAGAAATTCTTAATTCCCAAATTCCTGTCCCTTAAACATTCCAATATCAGAACTGGTTTCCAGCCCAATAAAGACCCAACTTGGGTAAATCCTCATCTTGGGTCTACTCTGGTTCCAATTCTAGCTTCAGCTATTGACTAGCACCTCCTTCCCATTTAGAGCCTGCTAGCTGACAATGTGCTAGAGACATGGTGGGGCAAAAGTTGGGAGAAAAGCGGTGATGTGGAGCAGGGGCTCTCCTTCCCGTTTCTATAAAAGGCCCCTGCTCTCTCTCCATCCCACCACCAATGTCTTACAGGGGCTTCCAATGTTCCCTACTAGCTATGACAAATCATTTTATCGGATGGCTTGCTCTGAGGCAGTGGCCCAGTGATATTTCAAGAAAGTGAAGCATTAATCCATACAGAGAGTAATGAGGACAATATTTATGATCAAAGGTCACAGAGGGAATACTTTTAAGGCTTGCTAGAGCTCAGAACTTAATCCTGCGTTCACCTCTAGAAGCTCAATTTTGGTGTCAGTACTTAGCTCTGAAACATATTAATAACAAAGGTAATATCTGAGCATATGCAAAGACTTTCTCTACCTCTCTCTCCCTTACTTTAATAGGCATTGCTCATGGCCCATACTTGGGGTTAAAAGTCAGGTGTTCTGGGAGAAAAGACAAGTTTCCAGCAAGCATGTGTCTTCCTATCTTTATTTTTAGAAATTAAGAACTGGTTATTAGAGTAATGCTATGCTGTAAGTGTGCAAACATCTATTATCAGGATTGTGTACAAAATCTGTAAAAGTTTAAAAAGAAACCATAGTTTATAAACATCTGATTAAGAAAAGAGTATCATTGAGCCAAAAGAGAAAAAAATGTCACAGATGCTTTTGGGGATGATTTCTAAGCTCTCACAAGTCCCAAATAAGACAATTTAAAAATAAAAGTAATGGAGCACCCCAAAAAGTGAATATTCAAGATAACTAAGCTTTAATTCATTCAATGTGAGATCTTATGCCTATGCCATAAAACAAATGGGGAAGGACTACAAGCTAAGTAAAATCAACTGCTGGAAGGGTTATGAACACTGAATTACCTCACCCTTCCTGGCCATCCTCCGCCATTCACACATGCTGCAATCACAGAGCAGGCCAAACCTTTCCAGGCCCACAGGAACCCACCTGCCAAGTGAAGGAAGAAGAGAGATGCTGAATACCTACAATCTGTCTCCTGGGTTTCGTCTTTAGGACATATCATTTCTAGTTTCTGGGTCATGGAAGCATGTATTGGTCCGTTCATGAAGAGGTCACTCTGTCCATGAGCAATACATCCATTTGTACATGGGAGATAGATAAAGAGGGCATTTTGTGTCTTTGTCTTCAGGAAGGCAATGATGAGTCTGGAATAAGGAGCAATCTGAGAGGATAATGGGATGAAGCTTGTCCATCTGTTTGAAGAAGGCTCTGTCCATCCATCCGTCTTCTGACATCCTTTCAGATGATGTCATGGTGCCCCCGGGAACGTCGTAAGAGGCAATAGAGTGCCGAGAGCAAGTACAAGAAGGCACTGCAGGCTGCGAAGACGGCAGCGGTCAAGTAGCCCCCGTAGCTGCACGAGTGGCTGTAGCCCGCTATGTTGCAGTACCTCAGTTTGTGTGCCTTCTGGGCCATGATGCCGGCGGCGGCAGCAAAGAGAATGAGCCCAAGCAGCAGATCGTGTAGGAGGTTTGTCATGAGCCAGCGGGTCCCGAGCACGGGCACCAGAGACCAGCGGCCCAAGAGGCTGAGCCCAAAAAGGGCCAAGGTGAGCAGCCACACCAGGACTGCTGCGAAGACCGCAAAGTAAGTGGCTCCTTCATACTTGTGCGCCGCCAAAGTCACCCAGCAGGCAGCACCCAGCACCAGCTGTGCGATGCGCAGTATTCCCAACAGACTTCGCAGGAAGGACTTGTTCAGGCTCAGAGAATCTCTTGACGCCGGGTAAGGGGGTGGCGGTGAGGAAGGGGGTGGTGGGAGAGGCATGCTGGAACTCTCGGGCCTCCACTAGCGCTCGTCCCGTCCAGTGCTTTCGGCAGGCATGCAAATCTCACCCCCTCTTTCCGAAGCACTTCCTCTGTGTGTAGCTGCCAAACATCTGCAGCTTAACGGTCTTTCCTGAACTGGGGCCTCTCAGTTTCCCGGCTCTGCCCCTCCCTTCTCTCCCCTTGCCCCTCCTCTTCTCTGGGTGGTTCTCTCGCTCACCATTCTTTTGCTACCATTTCATTCCCTCTCTCCTCCACACCCCTGCAATCCTGCTGAGATCTCACAAAATAGCCACTGAGGCTGGCTTCTGGGTCGGGGTTTCATTAGCTAGACATCACGCCATGAGCTCCAGTGCTTGTGCCAACGGAGCTCTGCCTAAACCAGCCTTCACCAGCCTGGTAACCCCCAGGTGTTTTGGACTACAATTTGCATCAGTCTCAGCCAAGATGAGAAGCCAACAGTTGACTTCGAATGTGGGTCCTGCAGGCACTCGTTTCTGCCTCTCCCATGCATTTCTCAACAAACTCTGCAGTTTTGATCTCCCCTGGTGGCCCACATCCTGGTCAGTTTAACTATTAAATATGGTGCAAGCAAATTTCATCATGTTCTCACCCAGGAATCACAACTTAGATTACTTTTCTATGTACTGAAGAGGCAGATAATCATTCACTTTTGGCCTAAAATGTATGGAGAGGTGCCAGGATGTAAGAGAACCTGTAGAATGTAAATGGGCAAATTCATGAGGAGCTTGTACATTTAAATCCCACTGCCCACTTTGTTAGGGCTCCTAAAGGCACTTTTTGTCCCAGCTGCTTTGAACAATAATAGTGAACCTGCAAAGCTTTCCCCCTCTTTTCACTGGAGAAGTGCAGAATGCCTAGCTTGAATCCAAGGCTGGTCTGCTTACGTCTTAATTTCACTTGAAAACAGAACTCTTCATGCCTAATTATACTAAGAAAGGAAGCAGCACATTAACCACAGAGGAGCTGGGAGAATACAGAACTATGTAGTCCAGCAAAACAAATTACCATATTCTTTCTAAACTACACTTGGGACTCATAAGTCTGATGCAAACTCATTTTAACATAACAAAACAATGCCTCCCATAGCACCTGAATCCAAGGTGAGTACCCACAGTCCTTGCTTCCATCCCAAACAGGTCCTGTCTGCTACCAGAGCTGAATATTTCAAAAATGTGGTGTTAACAAATAAAAACAGCCTTCTTGAAATCATTCTAATTTTGAGCATGGTGGATCTCATGACTTTCCTAAGATCCTGAAATCAATGCATTCTGTGCATGATGCATGGAGTTAAGTTTCATAGGGCCACTTCACATGTCATTCTACCCACATAAGTTATATGTGTACACAATTCTGTTTAAAAAAGCCACATAGGCACATATAGTAGGCTATAGCTGCACATTTAAAAGCTGCTCCATCCTGAGGTTTTCAAGCATTTGAAAGTACAACAGAAGACTTGTGTCATTTAAACTCATGCAAATACACTAATCTTTCCCCTATGAGAGTTTGGGGGGCTATGTGTAGAGTGAATAAAAGACCCTAGCTAAAATAAGAGTTATTTCTTGTGACAGAGTTGCAAATTATATCTCTTGGAAATCAAAGAAGGAATAGGATGGTCTCTTTTCTTCTCCTTTCTCAGAAAACACAGAAGCAAAATTTTATGCCTGAGGGTTCCGCCTAACTTTTGGCTTCCTGGCACGCAGGAGCTGGCTGGAGAGCCCCTATCTTCCCTCCACGTTGGCCTTTGCACGCGTCTGCCTGCGAATGCGTTGCGTGGCTCAGTGGAGCGGCGCGGAGCAGGCACTCGCCAAAGCTGCTCTCTCCTGCTGATGCATGACCAGGCAGAACCATTTTACAGGCAGCCAGGCAGGCAGGGTGCGCAAGTTGCTGAAGGTCTGACAAGTCAGACACACGCACACGTGCACGCACTTTTCTTTCCAGGCTGCTGTCAGAAAAGCCCAAGGTTCTCCACTCTCTTGTCGCCCATCGCGGGCATTCCTAGCCCTTTATTTGCAAAAAGAGCCTTCGAGTCGAGTTAGCAAACAGGATGGAGGAAACAAGCAAAAAGGAAGCGGCAGGTAGAGGGTCAGAAAATCATTCATGCGGGTGACACCGCACAATCAGTTTGGCTGCAATCCAATAGCTTCTACTTGAGGTGAGTTAACGCACACACGATATTCGTCAAACGGATGAAGCCACACATCGGAGCGACGCCCCGCTTTCTTCTTGCAAGCGACGCCCTTCCCACTGACGTCAATAACTCGGCTTGCCACGCGTTACCAGAAGAGACATCTGAGCCCCACCCTCCTTTCAGTTGATTGGTTAGCTGGTTATTTTCGGCGTTAGGAGTTAGAACCCTGGAGTTCAGGGGCAAAGGAAGCTGATTGGCTGAGATACATGTTGTCTTTTCTGGACAAAGGAATCTCCTCCGTGTGAGCTTGTGAATGACGGGAAGCGGCTTGAGAAGAGGTGAGCGTGATCGAAGCTCCCAAAAGAGCCCGGCCGTGGCGGGTCTCCAGGATTCTTCGGGAGACCTGGGGCTCCAGGGAGGACAGCAGCCGCCTGCAGGTCTGTAAGTGGCCCAAGACCCTGAAATCGTCTCAGGATCTAGGCATCAGCCTGTGATTGTTAAAATTCCAAGTTTCCGGTGTGAGTGGTAGAGGGGTCTGAAAGGCAGTTCCATGGAGAGGTAGAGTGGGAACCATCGGTGCTAGGAGCTCGGAGCAGGCAGTCACTGAGGCAGCATCTTTTTATATATGAAGTTCATTTTAGTTGGGCTGTTGGTTTTTTCTGTTTTTCCCTCGGCGGGGGCATTGTGCTCTTCCCCGAAAAGTACAGGACAATTCCGGCTGGTGTTAGGTTTGACTGACGAGAGGAGCCTTTCTCTTCAGTAAGGCTTACTGTCCCTCGTAGATTAGTTTGTGAATAATTGTGAAATAGTGCAAAGAAGCTCGAGGCAGGCTACACTGGAGATAACGTGACTAGGTAAGTCGAAACGGAGTGCGACCCAGTGTTGTTGTCACCTGGTGGTCTTGCTGAGCAAGGATTTAAATCTAGATCTCTCGGTGGCCTCGCAGCAGTTCTCACTGTATTCCGCCCCAGTCCTAGTTTCTGCAAAGCCCCGGAACCGAGGGCGTATATATTAATAGTCATTTTCGGTGTAGTGCTGTTTTCGATGTGATCTAAGCACAATGATGCATCTTAAGCTCCCGGACACTGAGACATGGATTTTGCCGCCCCCTCCCCGCATCCAGCTCCCACATCTAGATTCACGGATTGAATAAAACAGCGTAGGACGCAATCTTATGTACGTTTAGGTAGAAAAAGGCCTCCAACTCCCAGCATGCCCCAATTATAATGGCAAGCTGGGACATGCTGGAGTTGAAGGACTTTTTTCTGCCTAAACATGTCAGGGTTTGCATTACTTCCCTGGGAAATGCTGGCAAGTGTAATCCAACACACGGAAGGGCTCCAGGCTGGGGGAGGTTGCAATAGAATCATGTGCCCAGTTTGGCAAAGGAGAAGTCCCTCCCACCCCTGCTCCAGAAAATGCCTTGAGGGGTGGAGACTAGTGAATTAGCTTGCATGGCCCACCCTTTCCTGGCATAGGCCACCTTTAGAAAAGTGTATCACTCTTGCTTGGAAGCAGCTGCTGTTGCTAGGCATGGTCACAGGTAAGAGCTACCGTCCCCTGGAAGACAGAACCTCTGCTGAGTGCAGGAATGTGAGCTCTTGCCCCAAATGGCTGGACCTCTGGCACTTGTCCCAGCCAGTGTGGAATTTGTATGCACTCCAAGCAGCTGGGGGTGTCATCCTTCATTATCAGCCTGAAGTTGTTCACCTGTAGCTTTTTCTTCCTCATGGTGGAACACGCCTGTACTCTGTAAGTGCCGACCTGACTTAATACTCCATGTGTGGTGCACTAGGTGATTTTTAGACTGGTTCAAATGGCATCTGGGTGGTGTCAGCATCCCAGGGTTAAGATCCTACATTCAGCAGCCTACAGAAACAGATGATCAGCAGGAATCAGTAATAGAAGTTGCTGTTTCTGGGAAAAGAACTAGTTCTGTGCAAAGAGGTGGCAGTGGGCTGAAGGTGCAGGTGTGTCACAGTAAGCTTACGGAATAACTCAGTACTGTACTTCAGCATTCCTGTGGAAAGACCCAACTTAAGATAGAAAGGGCAGCAAGGGAAGAACAGCTCGTGGGATCAACTAACCATTCTGCTGCTTCCCCTCCATTTCCTCTGTTCCACAGAACCACCTCCAGCTACACAGTGGAGGGACCCTAGCACCATGGGAACCCCAGCCTCTGTTGCTTGTGAATTGCCACAGCAGCAGACTCCTAGATCCTGCACTCGCAAGAGAGCATCTGCCAACATCTTTCAGGGTGTGGGGTTATGGCAGTTGCGCCGTCTCTTCCACAGCAGTGGGGATGCACAGGCTGAAGAACGGGCCCGGCTGGTTTGGGAGTGTGCAGAGAATCGGTGCATTACCCAAGCCCTGGAACAGCTCCATCGAAGACAAAGAAAAACGAAGCTGCGATCCCGCCTGAAACCCCCTTCTGAAAAGAGTAGTAGCACCAGACTCCTAGAGCTACAGCATTTCAGCCACTTAAGGTACAGTCTTCATTTTCATGCTTCCCCAATATCAAATAGGCCATCTATATTTTTTGAACTCATCCACCTGAAATAAAGGGATTGCCACAATATGTTCTGCCTGTGGTTGCCCTTAAAGATAGCTCAGAGCCTGCAGCTGGTACAAAATGTGGCAGCTACAACACATGCAGGGACTAGGCATTCAGACCATACTGCATCAACTTGATACATCAGTTCAGTTACATTGGCTGGGAATTCACTTCTAAGCCCAATTTAAGGTGCTGGCTTTAGTCTATTAAAAGCCTTATACATTTGGGACCAGATTATCCAAAAGTCCACCTGAATCCATATGAGTCTAGACAAGCATTTAAGAGCAGTATCTGAGGTGCTGTATATTATATTCTGACAACTGTAGTTTTTGTTTGTTTAAAAATAGCTTCCTAACACCTACAGCTGCAAAGACAAATTCAAATGTCTGGATAATGTGCAATCTCAGCAGAGCAAGGGCAAAGTTTTCCATAGTTCTTCCCTTTCACCTTCAATGAACAAAAACAATAATTTATGCAGAAAAAATATAAAATATTTAACAGGTCATAAACTTATGGAGCATCACTTGAATTCTTGAAGTCAAATTTATTTGGTGCAACTAGATTAGCAGCACAAAAATGGGAGTGCAACTATGTTTCTTGTAACTGAGTTCCCTCCCTCTCCTTTTAGAAAGCCCAGCAATACAGGTCTCATCTCACTTCTCTCTGTTTGAACTGGTTTTCTAGAGGAGTCAACATACTCAAGTTCTTAACTGGTGCCTTTGTTGTTCCACAGGATTGAAGACTGTACTACACCTTGTGCTGGGACTGATAATGGTGACCATGGCAGCAATAAGGAGACAGAGAGAGATGATCAAAGTGGCCACTACACAGCTTCTCACTACTGGAAGAAAAGGGGGACTGGCGCTGCAGGCTACCTGCACCAGCTCCATCGGTGAGCAACTGAACCTTCTCTATGCCAACGAGTTGTGGTTAAATGTCAGAGAAAAGGAGAAGCCTGAAATTGAGGGGGGCCTGATGGTGAACACACATTGCTTAATCATTGCATGTTGGAGGAGAATCAACATTAGTTCTCCTGCTTCAAGTCGGCAATCAAGGCAGAGAAATTTGAAACCAAACCATTTCAGCACCTCAAGCACTTCTCCTTGTTCTGGTTACTTAAAATTTGACAGCACCTTGCTGGGTCAAAGCATAAACACTACACCTACTGTCTGCACTCAGTCATATTTAATAAAGCTTGTATCTGCTCCCTCTGTGAAAGAAGGTCGTGTGGACATTTACAGCTGTAGCAATTATATCTTGAAGAAATGGATTTATGATTCTGCACTGTGTAAAGTGCAGACTTTTAGTCTGTTCTGAATCTAACAGATGAGGTGGGGTGGCAGGGTGGAGATAATAACAAGGTAATGAGTTTGTACTGAAAACACATACCAGCTCTGTCATGATAGTCTTACCCTAGACTAGGGGCGGAAACCTATTTTCTATCAAGGGCTGCATGCCAGTGGTAGGTATAGCCAGAAACAAAAGTAGGTAGGATCACCAATAGCACCTTCTCTTTCTGGCCCAGGCTACCAGGGAAGGAGAGAAAATTGTAGAAGGGATCTGAACTTATTACTTGCAGAGGAACAGATACAAGTAGGTCTATAGTTTCATGCGGTCCAAGCTCTACAGGCTTCTGCAAGACACCATCTGTAAAACAGGCATGACAGCCCCTATGGATGCTGCTAGCAGTCACAGGTATGAAAATAGGATTTGCTTCTACATGATAAACTGATCTTGCCTCCATAGCAATAGGTTTCATTCTCCAGCCAGCCATACCATGCGTGAGGTCTGATCTCTTTGGACAGTCTTGTCAACATAGCAAGCTCCTGCACTGTCCTAACAGATGCATTCTAGAAATGAATGCTATTTTATTGCAATACATACTCCCACATCACAGGCCAAACTCTGCAAACAATATCCACATGAGGCTGCAAGTTTTTTTCTTCCACATTTGCAGAAAGGTAGAATGCCAACAAAAAGCTGCAGTTACAGTACGTAAAACTCTCTGCATAACTTACCCTCCTTCTCCCAGCCATAGTGGAGTTACTCCCACTTGTATGTGAATAACCAAGAGGCAGTCTAGATGCAGAGTAGATGCTGCATCTAGATTTTGCCAAAGAATAACTCCCATACTTCTAATACTGAGGCATTGGCTAAGGAGGCCAAACTACTTGCTACTGAGTCCTCCTTGCTTTGTCTATACAGCCTTCCTCCAACTTTACTGAAGATGTACAGAGCAATCCTATAAATGCCACCAGGAAATTCAATGCATTGAATGCCCTGTCAGGCTCCAGGCATGGGTAGAAGAGAAGGAAAAACAGAATTTGTCACTCAGTTTCCTATCCCCCTGCCCCCACCAAAAAAAACCCCCATTGTTGCTCATAGGAGGGGATTAATTTAAACCATGTCCAAGGCTGGTTAAATTTCTAAGCCAGTCAGCAGTGTGGTTAAGAGATAAGATTCAGAGTCACCCACACTTCTCCACTTTCTAGTGAGAAAGCTGAAGAATATGGCTCTTTTCCAGTGAGGCAGGGAGGGAGGAGCCAAGCTTGGAGTTCTGCCTCCATTCTTGGAGGGTGGATTTTCCATCTGTTCTATGGCCTGGCTCCTGGAACGCCCTTCTAGGAACCACAGGACTGCAGCCCAACAGTCTGAAAACCAGCGAAGAAAACATACTATTGGGTATTTCAAAAGAGGACTATGGTAGGTGGGGGAAGAGGCTCCACTAATTGTTTAAGCAACATTGTCCATGTATATCTAAGCATACACTTTCCTAAAGAAGAATAGGCAAGCATTTGCCTTGCTGTGGACTTAATTGTAACAGCTGCATCATGCAGGAGTATGTTCTAGTACAACCAGAATTTGAACAATTGTTTTCATTAACTGTACAGATTTAATGTGACCAGAACAGATGTGTGAATATGAACAGGCCAAGGCAATTATAATCGCTATGTTAAATAATATTTCCAACCATGTCATGAGGTTAGAATACATTATTTATACTCCCAATAGCTCTAAAAGCAACAGGTGGTGGCTTGTCTGCCAGTCACAAAGCAATTTCCCCTACCATGCTTTACAATACAAATACGGTGGCTTTCCCCCAGCCTAGCACCTTCCAGATGGGTCGCTCTACAATTGCCATAATTCCAGTGCTGATTGGCTGGAAACTATGGGAGCTGCAATCCAACATACCTGGAGGGCATCAGACTGGGAAAGCTGGAATAAGGCAACCAAAAGGAGGAACTTTCCAGTAGAGGATGTATCCGGCTACACTAAACAGGAAGATATAAACTGCAGGGAAGCTGAGTGCCATTGTATATAAAGGCATGATTGCAGGAAGTGAGGTAGGGAGGGGGAAAAGATTTAGTTCCTGATAATATTCAGACACATAAAACCACAACAGAGGCTGGCTCTGCACCTGCAGACCTGTTTTGAAGATACTTGCATTGATTTAAATATATTACATACATTTCTACAGTGCATAAGAACAATACATTTCGGTTCAGGCTGGCAAAAAGGAAAAGTATCCCCTAAAGCCAAGTAGAGCAGCTTCGGCCTGGCACCTCAGGAACAGAGCACAGAACTGTCTCTCAAGCCAGGACCATCAGGAGAAGGGAAACCCACTTACAGAGTACCAGACCCTTAGTGAGAACAGGAGGGAAGCTAGACTCCACTTGGCACAATAATTCTCTTTAAAGGTCTGGGCAACAGCCACATCAATAGCACCCAGAGAGACTGGGATACTTATACTGACAACTTGAGGTGGGAAATTTTTGTTACCAGGGATTTAGCACAGTAACCTATAAAGAAGCAGCATTCATTACCATTCCATTGTAGAAAGGGCTTAGCCTCAGTGTGGTAGTGATCCTAACCACAGTACTTCCTCTTGCTAGGCTGCAGAGGACATCTCTCCCAAGTCAGTAGGGTGCACCCCACAAAGAATTTTTCCACCCAGATTGTCAGTGCCCAACCCTAACCCAGGGAAGGTTTCCACCTCAATAGGAAATAAGACAGTCACCTCTGGTAAGAGCCTTTCTCCATCACTGAGTACTTCTAGAACGGAGGAACTGTATTCTAGGGACTGTAGAAGGTGAGTGTGAAATGCTAGCTCAAGTTAACCGTGCTAGGATACCAACTCATCTTCTTGCTTGCTCTGGGACTATGTGGAGCAGGAGCATATGTACATGGGATGAATAATTTAAAACCAAATTAAAATCACTAGTTGAGGCTTGTACTGCCTGTGCAGCATGAACAAAGTGAAAGAAAGCAGTTACGCTTTCCCATACCAGGGCTCTTTTAGTACCCACTTACTCCTAGCTTTTAGCACTACCCCAAGCAGAAAGAAGGGGCTACAACAGGCCCTGTACCAATACGTAAAATCTTCCCTCTGCCCCAATTTGGATTCCTCCAGAAGCAGCTGGTTACTGGGGCCAGGCTCCCTATGGATAGCCCCAGGATACAGATCACTAGGAATACCTCTATGAGACCAAGGGTAATAGAGCAAGCTTAGCAGGGCAGGAGATCCTGCCATCTTCAGCAGGATTAACGAGAGAGTGCAGCAAAACAGGAAGGAGTATGAAGGCTGGCGAGTTTCACAAAGAGCAGCAGAACTTCCATCCAACTTGGTTAATCTCATCACCAACCTTCCCAGGCAGAGGACAGCACATGTTCTCCACCCAGATGGGTGTTAGAGGGATGGCTTGAACCAAAGGGTGCTGCATGCAGGCACCTGCTGGATGATGCATCGTGCTAAGGCTGGCAAGCAGCAATGTCCAGCCCACCACAACAGGGGAGCAGCCGTCAGTTTGATGAAGGATCCTCCTTTCCTGCTGGGAATGTGCAGAGTTCAGGCCAACTGGAGTGCCTGCCTACATCTCTCACTGGCTGCAGCACGCCCACCTCCATCTGAAGGATTGGTTGCCTGCTGTCAAGCGATACTCCCCCACTCAGGTTCTGCGATGAGTGCAGAGCCTACTGCTACCACCAGGAAAAGAAAGGCTTGCGGCTCTGGAAGCTTTGTGTGTATGACTCACTGGCAGAGCGTTGATGGGAGCGAGCTGTCTCTACAATGACAGGAGGCATCTGAACCAAGTGAAGAGGGCTCTTCCCATCTTTCAAGGCCTGCATCAAGTTCAGGATCTGGGAACAGAAGAGGGAAATGTAGTCCCAGGATTACAAAGAGCCCCAGCTATAAACAGAGGCAAAGACAGCGAAATGCCCAATATAAGTTGCATCCCCCAAGTGGGATCAAGGAGCATACCTGACCGCGCATGACAGCAATCTGCTTGTGGAACTGCCCCCTGTCAAAACCTGGATCTTTCTACAAAAGAAACAGCATGAAATAGACAAACCACAATTAGTAGGAGTTACTGCACCAATCTCTGCTCCTCTTCTGCCCCTAGGGAGGAGAGTGTGTGTAGTCATCCCATCTCACACCATGACATCCATGCAAATAACATGCTCATGAACAGAACAAATGCCCTTGTGCTTGGGGTTACCTTGAAGAGTTCGTAGAGGTCTTCCTCTAGATCCTTGACAAAATTGGGGTCTGAAATCTTTGGCAGGATCAGGTCCTTGATCTCCTGGGAAAAGGGCATCTTGGCCTGGGGCAGCCATGCCCAATAGAAAGGGTCTTTGGAGCAGGGGAAGGGGGAAGAGAGAGAAGCAAAAGGCAAACATAACTCACAATCCAGAAAAGTCTCAAGGGTAGCATATGACCTAAGTGCAAGAGAAGCATCAGGAGAACATCCTGTGTTCCAGTGGCGACACCCAATAGTTAGCCCTTGAGGAACATCCACGTAAAGACAGAAATACATCTTGTGTACCTGCTTGGAGATACTTACATGCTCTCCAGGAATCTGGATGTTTAAGAGGGAAAGCCAGGCCATTGTCAATGGCAGCTATTTTGATTATAGGCTCCTTTACCACTACCCATTCTGAGTCCTGTGGAGAAAAAGGAGGTTGGGCCAGGAAAGAGGTATTACTCTCACCATTCACTCCACATAACCCAGGAGAGGCAATCCGAGAAGACTCATTGCCCCATAGTCAACACAATGGGCATTGCCTATGCCACCAGAATTTCTGACTAGTCCTGCCTCAACTCCTCCCTGCCTGATTTTGCTAAGGCCCAAAGGGAGACTAAGCACTACTAATGCACACAGGCAGGCCAGTCACATTTTGACACTCCCTTCCCACCACCCCATTCTCCCTGCAAGTCTACTGGAGCCAAGACATCAGCAAGCACTCTTCCAGACTCACTACATCTTGGGATTAGGATGCACCTTAAAATCTGACTTTTGACATCCTTGGTTCATAATTATTTGTGTAAATTCACAGGACATTGTTAGGGACTTTCAGCTGACCAGCAGCAGGTTGAAGCATGGCCTCCACTATGCATGATGCATTGCAGTCTAAGAACTATAGCAACTAACAACCATTCCCCTAAATCTGCCCCTTAATGAAAACTGCATGCCGGCCCCTTCCAGTCCCCTATTGCCTACTGCTGTAGAACACATTACACGCCTTAACTAGAACTGTCTGAGCAATGTGACCCTGGGTCCCACTCACCCGTACATTTGTGCTATCCAGGGGGCAGTCATACTTGATCAGCCAGTTGTCATTACCCCGGTCTGCAGAGAAACAAAAATGCATTGATAGCAGCCAGAGGGAAACCAAAGATCACAAGCCTCACATCAAAATACCAGGGGAAGGGCGGGCGGGGGGGGGGGGGGAATCACAGGACAAGAATATGTAATCAAGCAGCGTACAAATGTTTCACCTGCTCACACCCTTGGGGGAGGCAGACACAATCTCAACCTTTTCACTATTGTTTCTGCTCTGCCTTGTCACAGCAAATAATTTCCCATACAGGAGACAAAAGCAAGCCCCTGCTATCCCTCCTGCATGACAAGTGGAGATTAGAGATCCTGAATCCTTGGGAAGGAGCAGAACAGCTTTTTAAAAAGCGACTTGTGCCTACAGCAGGGCACTGGCATCTCCATGCCAATGGCTGACATGCTGTTCCCCTTAAGTCAGAATCAATGCTTTTGGTGTGGCTTAGTAAAAGGCAGCTTCCTAAGTAAAGGCAAGCAACCTCATACCCTCAAGATCTTTGAACTACAACTCCCATACCCCCCAGCCATTGGCCACAGCATCTAACACTGATGGGAGCTATAGTCTAAAATACAGAAGGTACCAAGTTACCTCCCCTGATCCTAACTACTGGGAATGTCCCAGGATGTCACAGCGCTATGGGGCACCAGAAGAAGCATATTAGGGAAAATACAGGGTGGGCCAAAAGTAGGTATACGGTACTAATCAGGTCATGTTTAGTCTCTTAGGTGCTTGAAATGCCACCCCATCAACGTTGCAACATTCATGGAACCTGTTCCCAACACTGTGACACAAATTCCATTTAGCACCCATGTCAATTATGAACTCCTTCAGTTCATCCACTGTGAGATCCTCCATGACCCAATTAGTACCATATACCTACTTTTGGCCCACCCTGTATACATTGAGGAGAACTATGTTCAGAATGACAGAGCAAAGGACAACACCAGCCTTCCCAAAAGACTTAGGTGTTCTTACAGCAGTGATGCTGCCCCTACCCATTTTCCTTGATTAATGCCCCCACCTCAGACCTGAGCTAGCACAGAACCTACCAGTGTTGCGAATGATATAGTCTAGCACCACCAATCTCTCAAATTGCAGTAGCAATTGGCGGTTAGTATTCTCTGGGAGAGGGTTAGTCTCAAAGTGCCGTAGCCAATAATCTGCATCCTTGTAGCCTTCTACAAAGAGCTGGAAGGAGCCCACCTGAGAAGAAGAAGCAGCAGGTTAAGGGGATCAAGGTATGGCTCCAAACAAACCTAGATGCCTTGTAAATGTTCTCACCTTTGGAGGAAGTCCAATTCGATGAAACCTCTGCCCAACCTTTGGCACTTTCTCTAGGGCCAGGCGTTTGCCCCGGGACTTCACTCTATCAATGGCGCTATAGTTAAATGTTTCACTGGCCAAATGTACCACCTATGGGTAAAAGGAAGAGGTGACTCAAAAACACAGTTTGCAAGCTGTTCACAATCAATGTTCTCTCTAGCATGCACCTATTTGCAGAACAAAGTTGCACTATATAAACCTAGACATTTTCTTACCTGACTGACTTTACCAAACTGTCCACAATCTGGTTTTAGGGGCAAAAATCAGACACAATCATAATAGGTGAAGACACAATGGTTCAAGACAAATCTCAGACTCCTCCTCCTCTGACAGTTATGATCAAAAGAAGCAGGGAGTATCTGCAAAAATGTCTTTTGACAACAGTTTCTTTAACATCAGTGTTCTTCTGTTTTACCTCTCCTACATAGGGTTCCTATTCAAAATGTTTTGCAATGAATCAGCCACATTGAACAAATTAATGCAAAAAAGTCAACAACATGTCCGCTTCAGTAATGTGCATAGTTCTTAGCATAGCATTTATTATTTTTTTAAAGGTCAGGATATAATAGTTCTGGGGCTACCACCAAATGCTTCTTGCTCATGTGTGTCAGGTGACATATCCTCTTCCTCATGTAATCTAACTACAATTGAAAGCAGTCCTGCATAGACTAGGACTGAGGAATACCAATAGGGTGGGTCAAGGATCAAGATGCTGGCACAGGAATGAGAGTTGGATTTAAGGCAGAGGTGGGCGACTTGTGACCTTCCAGAAATGGCCAACAACTTGTATCCACTAGCCAATTGCAAGGAAGGGTGGGAATTGAAGGCAAAAACATTTGACAAGCCACCAATTGCCTACTCCTGGTTTAAGGGACAGGTAGAAAGCAGAAGGTTATAGTTTGGAATAATATATGCCAGAGATCTCATGTATCAAGGGAAGGCAATCTTGGCTTTCCAGGTATTGTTCAACTTCTGACTCCCATTTGCAGTAACCAGTGTGTCTAATAGCAAAGGATGAAGAGAACTGAGATTCCAACATACAGAGGTTCCCCATCTCTGTCATACTGGGGAAACAAGGTCTTTATCCAGGCTTCCTTGTCCACTGTTAAATCCTTTGCTATCTTTCCTCCTCATTGGCTCACCTTTGTGCAGGGAACAATGTTTAGTTCCAGCTTCTGGTCAACAAGGCTAGCACCTGCCTCAGACAAATATCCCTGGTTAAGGACAAGGCAATCTCTTCCAAAGCAACAGGGGCAGCAAAGTTTTTGCAGCCACTTTGTCCATTTCGGATTCAATTGCCCATAGGGTTCTTCATTCTTAGGTTTGAACACACCGATGATTTTCTGAGAAGGGCAGAAAAAGGAAGCTGGTTAACACAAGCTGGGCAAGGTAAAGATGAACACACAAAACTACCTCCCCTCCCTCACCCGGCAAAGGATCTGGCTCTTGACAAATAGATAGGTATTATGGAGAAAGATGGGGTCAGACATCTTCCTTGCTAAGGCTTATAATGTACACTTTCCGTTACAACATTTATGCCCATCACGAGTAGCTTATGGCCCTGTTGCTCAAAAGCAGCCCATCCAACAACAGTTCCCCTTTCAAACTCCCAAAAATTAGGCAACCAAGCTGGGTCAACTTTGCCAGCCAGATCTTATTCATGGTGATTCATTCTTGAAATCAGGTGATTATGAGATCAGTCACTAGGAAGAGGTTAATCCAGGTGTACAATGGCCAGCATAATCATCCATGCAGGTTGATCACTTCCAGCTTCTGGAACTGCACCTTTCCAGCCCAGCAGATAAGTGTAACAAGGAGTTTGGCATCACTAATTCAGAGTGTCATTTTCTGTTTCTGGCCAAGACAGGTGACCAACACTACACTGGATATGGCTAAACGCTATGATGAGCTGCTGCTGGGAGAGTTGAAAAACCACTGAGGCTGAAATGATAGGCCCCATCACTGACCATATTCTGTCAAAAAGCAGTTTCTCTCAAACCTTTTAAATTTTCATTCCCTTCTAAACCTTTTCCACCTTCCAAACCCTTAAGCATAAATCTCTTCAGTAAGTGTGCACACAGACAAACTATTATAACCCAAATATCCAAGCTTTCCCATCACAGCTCCTTTTGAATTTTCTCCAGTCCCATTTTTCAGTACCAAAGAAAACTGCCCTGCCATTTTCTAGCGCACTAAGGGACAATACAGTCAAGCAGCCCTTACTGTCTCAGGAAGACTCCAGCAGGATGCTGTTTGTTCATGAGCCAAGGAAGCAGGGAACCCCATAAAAGAAGGAGAGCACAACCCCAACATGCCACTTACAACGGCTCTTCCATCTACTCCTGTATGGGGCTGGAGCATGCCACGTAAAGTTAACATATGTATGCTATTTGTACACATGTGTGGCTTCAGTTTTAAGGGGATGTGTGGCTTCCAGTGTGTTATCTTCCAAGAACAAACAGTCGAATTGACACCATCAGACATTACATGTGCTAACGGTGACTTGGCAAGTGAAATGCAGCTACTGTATTTCCCCGAAAATAAGACCGGATCTTAATATTAATTTTTGCTCCAAAAGACGCATTAGGGCTTATTTTCAGATGATGTCCTATTTTTTCATGTACAACAATCTATTTTATTCATGTAGAAAAGTCTACATTTATTCAAATACAGTCATGTCATCTTCCTCTGGAACATCATCATAACTCTCCAAACCCTGAATTGTGTTGCAACGGACATGCTAAATGTGTCCATCTGGCTGATGATCTTAACTGGGGCTTATTTTAGGGGTAGGGCTTATATTGCAAGCATCCTGAAAAATCATGCTAGGGTTTATTTTCCAGTTAGGTTTTATTTTCAGAAAAACTGGGTATTTTTAATAATATTTCAACCTACCGTTGCAAAGAAGGAATATCACAAAAATTATGCACAGACTTTTTTTTTGCTCATCAGCTTTCGTTAGTGTTTGTGTATTTTATGTGCAGCCCAAGACCATTTTTCTTCTTCCAGTGTGGCCCAGAGAAGCCAAAAGTTTGGACACCCCTGCACTAGATGGATATTTGCCAATTTCATCATTGTAAAATCATGCAATTTGCTTCTTGCACTATAGACCCGTTTCTTCTGGGAGTGTAGTATCAGCAGATCCAAGATACCTCACAATTGAGATTGCATTATATAAGGCAATGTATGACACTATTTTCCCCAGAAGATATTTCCTAAAGAATTCTGTGCTTTTGTTTTGTAAAGAAGTATACTAGGCCTCTTGATGGCAAAAGAAGGGGATGGCAAAGGATGAGGTGGCTAGATGCAGTCACTGAAGCAGTCGGTGTGAGATTAGGGGGACTCCAGGGGATGGTGGAGGACAGGAGGGCCTGCAGGAATGTTGTCCATGGGGTCATGATGGGTCGGACACGACTTCGCGACTAACATAACATAATACTAGGCCTCATCATTACCATTAAAAGCCATGAAAATGCATAAATTATCTCTCTTAAAGTCTCAAATATCAAGTACAGTGAGTGGAGCTCTTCAGTGAGGAATGTCACCTTCATCTCTTACCCCTCCATGCATACTGCTCAGGAAATCACTATCTCCCATTCCTAGCTTTGAGACCAAAGTGATACAAAAGTTCTACACACTGAATACAAGAAAAGAAAAAGAAAAATGTGGATGATTCATTCTTGTTCTAGACTCTGGATTATATGGCAATAGAAGCACAATGTTTTAGTATAAAACTCTACATCTACCAAGTACAATCAAAACTCTTAGAAATTGAGTGGGAGCTAAGAAGTAAAAATGAGAGGAACATCATGGCTGGCACAAGGGATACCTGGGGAACATATGTATTTACATAAACCAGTCAGAGTGCAACATAGTCAAACCCAAGATGAGTTGGGTCAGACCTATGTTCTGACAGAGAGGAAGCCATTTAACATATCTCTGCAAACCTAAAGTGGTATACCCTGTCAATCTACCATCAGAAGTGTTTTTCCTTTAGTACTGCCAGATCCCTCTGTCACAGATTTATGCTTGCTGCCCTGCTAGAAAAGTCTGATCTTCCACCTTGTCATTTCAATGATAGAAGCTGACTAAATGCCTTCTCAAAGCCAAGTAATTCAATATACATTTCGGTCCTCAAGAAAGGAGATGCAAAGGAATGCAGCAACTACAGGACCTCACCAAGCATGTTGAAACAAAAAAAAAAAATTACTCTAGAAAGGCCTGATGTTCAACCTGGATTCCAAGAAGGAAGAGGTACTCACAAATATACATTGGTTATTGGAGTGCACTAAAGAATTTCAGAAGAGTCTGTGCTTTACAGTCTACAGCAAAGCATTTGACTATGTGGCTCATGAGAAACTATGGATGGTTCTGAAAGAAATGAGGGTATCTCAACATTTGATTGTCCTGAGGTGTAACCTGTATTGTGGCCAAGAAGTTGTTAGGACAGATTATAGAGAAACAGAATGGTTTCTTATAGGAAAAGGTATACAAAGGTACATTTTATCTCGCTATTTGTTCAGTCTGTATACAGAACATATTATAAGGAAAGCTTGATGAGAATCAGAGGAAGAGGTGAAACACAAAAGACACACCAATAATTTAAGATATGCAGATGATACCATACTACTAGCAGAAGGCATCAAGGAATTGAAATTACTTCTGAAGATGAAAATGAAAAAAAGTGCAAAGGCAGGACTGCAAGTAAGCATTAACCCCCTCGCCAAAATATGACTACAGAAGAGTTTCACAACTTTAAAGTCAACAATGAGGAAAATGAAACTGTGAAGGATTTGGCAGACCCAATAATGTGAGGGGAAATCAAAGGAAGAAAAAAGAGAAAGACTACATCTGGTATGTATCAATTCCATAAAGGAACCCATAGCCTTGAATTTACAGATGAGCACAGCTGTGAAGGACAGAACATTTTGAAGGACTTTCATTCATAGGTTTACCATAAGTAGTAGTAGTGGTAGTTGTTACTGCAGCCATTTCTATACTTCCTTGAAGCCAAAGCTCTCTGGGTGGTTTACATCAAAATATAAAACAAAACAATGCAATACAATACAATTAACAGAAAACAACAATGTTTTAAATGTCAAAATTAATTTAAAATAGTTTAAAGATATAATAAAAAGACCCAGCAAGCAGAATTATCAGGATAATCCACTTAGGCCCCTGGATAACCAAGGAGATCTTTAAAGACCTCTGGATAGACGCCAGTCTTGACCTGGTGCTGAAAAGTTGGGTTCTGGGGCCAGGCAGGCCAAGCTTGATGACACATAACAATAACAACAAAAACCCAAGTGACAGGAAATAACCCTAAATAAGCCTTCTCTCAGACGGGCTGAGCTACAAGTCCCCTCATTCCCAGCCAGCCTGAGTACACCAACCTACACCACCATCTATCCACCCATACATACAAGCAGACAAGGTCTAATTGTGAACAGTTAACCAAGATGCATCTTAACTGCAATTTTTTGACTACAATGGCTCCTTTAAAGACATGAACAGCCAAGATTAAGAGTCATGATACTTCCTCAATCCATTTGCTATCTGCCTACCTAGAAGGGTAGCACAAAGACCAGTGTGACTCACTGTCTCAGTAGCATCTCTCATGAGCCCAAATAATAGGGAAGTTAGTTCAAAGTTTGAATGAGACAAGAAAATGAAGTTAGATGGCAAGAAATGACAAGGCCTGTTGAAGAAACACAGTTTTATGCAATCAGCACAAGATACTCAGAAAGAGGAAGTTAAATTAATCTGGTTAATTATGATGGGTCACAAGAAAAACCACACAGTTACCCACTGCACAGGCATGGAGAATATACTTCAGCTGACCGGAACCACAGCTTGCTGCACCATTTTACAATGTTCAATTGTTCAAGAACAACTTTCCCCCTTTTCTCAAATCACCATGGAGGTACAGAGATGACCAAGTCCCTGCAAAGTACAAAGGCAGGAACAATCATCCAAAGGAGAAGACAAAGCCTCAGAAATGTTCTCTAAGTGAACAGGCCAATATAGAGTAAATGCACCAGAACCTGAAAACTAAAATGTAAGGGAATCTCACTGGCCTCTTCCTCTAGGGAATGAACAAATAAAAATACATGGATCTCATCTTTCTCCAATGCATATTTATCCAAACTTGCTTTTTAAACTTCAAGTGATCTGGACTTCAGTGTTTTTCTAGAAACCCTTTTCTCTTACTCTTAGCTTCTAGATAGTTTAACATAATTTAAATCCCGCCTCTTTCTGTGCCCTTAACATCATAATTCATATTTTATCACTAATGTGCATGCACTTTTCAGAGAAAGAACAGGATGACATGCTCCCTGTCCCAAGGAGCTTACAATCTAGAATAGTTACAAAAGCACTATTCGTTGTAGTACTTCTTAAAACCCTCCTCTAAAAACCTGGGTTTCAAGAGGGAAGAATTAAGTATTCCAATAGTCAGCAGTGACTGTTCAATGGGAGAATACCAAGCAGAGCCCATGATGTGTTCTGGGTAAATATTGTGTAAATATTAGCAGTAGTGACCTAAAATTCTTCATAGCAAAGGGCAAAGGGTAGAGTAAATAGCCTGAAATGTTCTGGGCTGTTCGCAAGAACCTTCTACAAATTAAGCATGTCTGGCTCTTTTACTTCTTCTTCCTTAAAAAAAAATCTTCACCATCCCAAGCTATTGCCAGATTCCACGGACCTTTAAATTGCGGCTATGCACCTGAAGAACAAAGCTTCAAAAACCTAACTATCTTTATCTAAAAGGTTGAAAAGTTCAAGGACCTCATGATTAGGAAGGGAAGTTAAACAGCTGCTTCCACAGACTGACAGCCATTCTTTTCCAAAGGGATTATGTGCTTTATGAACAAATAGCTCATTCACTAGCAAGTATATAAAGAACCTCAAGTGAATGTACCCAGCCATACTTCTAAAAGAGTCATATCCACTTATGTAGGTTTCTTCTGCCATTTGTATTTGTTGAGTAATATTGTGTTACAAGTGCACACTCACACTAACTAAACACAGTTTTCCCCAATCTGATAACCTTCAAAAGTTTTGGATTACAATTTCCAAGAGCCCTGACCATTGGCTTGAGCTGACAGGAGTTGAGGTCCAAAATATATTGAGGGCACCAGGACAGTGAAGACCGCTAAACAAAATAAGCCTCTGTTTCAACCCCAGCTGGGATAATAACAAAGAATTCATCATGTCCGTATCTAATATATATCTTCTTGCCAAAGGATTTTGTGCCAATGCCAAGCCATACACTTTCTGGACAAGAGCTATGTGGTGTACTTCGGGCTTTCCAAGCAGCACTCTCAATAAATAATACAGCCTAGGACAATGAGACCACAGGCCTCTTTATTCAGAATTAGGAAGCCAAAGGCCCAGCCATACACAAACCCTTTATGAAAACCAGGAAACCAAAATAAATGCTAAGGCTGTGTTATGAGCCACTTCACATCACCCAAACACCTGAACAAATCTACTCATCCAGGATGGTAACTGAAAGCCTGTAACTGAATAAAGCTATGCCAGTCCAATTAAATAGTGAATCCACGTAAGTCCAAGCCATTCACCCAACTACCCAGAAGCATGTCAGAATGCCAAGCACTGTTATGCCTTGTCACTGGGCATGTAGAACTTCAGTTCATAACTTCAATATTATGAGTACAGAATCCCAGAATTATGTTCAGATTGGTTCTCTGAACCCAATATGTAAATCCTGTTATTATGCAGCAACACTACCATCACAGAGCTTCTATCCTGTTTTATTAGCTGTATGCCTAAATATGTTTCCCACTGCATTCATAATACTGGGTCTTTTTGTTTTTATGGATAAGGCCTACACTTGGTGTGCTTTTCAGGAGGGACACCTGACAAATTAGCTGTATTTTTTGGATTATACTATAGACTAACATACTGTCCCCTACAAAGGTCTAGTCCAGAGTGGATAAAAGGGCTAACACAGGCCAAAAAGATCTGAGGGCCAGAATCTAGGCATCTGATTGCAAGCAGGTGAAACAAGAATCCTGCACTCCAAAGAACTGGGCGCTAATGATGTGGCACATACACTATATAATAACAACACTTAACATTTATTTATTTATTTAGAAAATTTCTATGCCGCCCCATTCGCCGAAGCCTCGGGGCGGCTCACAAAACATCAATTAAAATATAATACACTAAAAATATAAAACGAATTAACAATATATGTCTTTCAAGTACTTAAATCTTTTACATTATTTGTTGAAAAGCTTCTAACCCTGTAAGTTACATTCATATAATTACTTCGTATTTTGGGAGGGGGAGCCAAAGAATGTAGCTTGCTTAGTATGCTGACAGCAAAGTCAATATTCGAGCCCGGGACTTCCTGATTTGTTGTTCAGCCGCTAGACCCCACACAAAGCAGCACAAGTGTAACAGTGAACATCATCTAACCAGGCCAAACCCTCAAGCCCACCGCTCTATCTTCAACCTTTGTAAAAACTTATATAAAATAAAGCCAACCAAGTCCCCCTTCCCCTTGTACCACCGCACCCTGGTCTGAACACTTTCCCCGAGCCCGGTTTCTCACCCCCTGTGGGTCCTTGACGAAATAGCTGCCGCTAGAGCCTTGGTAGATGCGCTCAGGGTAGATGCCACGCTCGCTCGCCAGCTCTGCTAGCCGCACCACCTCAGCGAATTCTGGGTCATCGGGGAACTCGTTCCGGGTCTCCCGCTCCCCGCGGGCCGCGGCGGCTCCCACCCCCAACCCAACTGGAGCCTGGATCTGGGCTGCCCCAGCTATCCCCGCACCCCCAACCCGATCCAGCAGGGGCTGGCGCTCCCGGTCGCGGCCACCTGAGGGAGATCCCTGCGGGGAAGGACACGGACACGGTCCTGAAGGGGCGCTCGGAGCGGCGGGGCAGGGCGGGGAGCGCACAGCACCCCCGGGCAGCCCATATCCCGGGGCCAGGCCGCGCTCCGGAGACACTAAGGGGCTCGTCTCGTCCATGGGCCGAGCAGGTCCGAGACGCGGATCTAACCCCAGGTGGGCACTTGCGCGCACAGACAAGGGCCCCGCGCTCCACGACTCAGAGCGGCTCAGTTCGGATCACCTGACACCGGCCCCGCGGCCACCGCCGTTTCCGCCGGAGCGGCCGCAGCCAATCGCAGTGCGGCCACACCTCCTGCTTACAGGGTGCCTCGAAGCCACGCCCACTAGGGAGGTCGCCGTCCATTCACAAAGCTAGCTCTGCCCCTATCCCGAAAGCCCTGTTCCGTGCCCTCCATAGCCACGCCCCTTCATTGTGTTGCGTGCTGAGTCTCACTGCATAGCTAAGTCATGCACGATGAACTAAGTCGGTTTGTAGAGCTTTCTCTTCTTGTACCCCAAAAATGTGCTTTCTGGCTAGGTCTCTGCTGCCTGCCATTATCGACGCTGCCTCCTCAGCCCCTGCTTCTGGAGCATGGCCCCGCCCTGCATTACAAAGAACAACGCTTGCACACGAAGTATCGCCGTCTTCCCCAAGCTAAAGAATGCATTTCCAGGATCTTACCCACCTCCCCTTTACAAACACGCCTCCATATACTGCACCGACCCTTCCTCAGTATGCTGAATCTCACTCCTTTCCCTACACTGTCACCACCCGAGACTTTAAATACCATGTACATATGCATACACTGGTTCACCGTCCGGTGCAATCTTATTAAACATCGCACACCAAGCCATCGCTTCCAAAGAAAGACCGTCACACGTCTCCACTGCAAAAAGAGCCCCAGCCGCTGTTTGTCCTAACAGGACTACAAACCCTAAGAGAGTTGCTGCGTTGATTTGCAGTTGGATGCAAACTTAGTCATGCTTAGAGAATAGTTCCATTGAATTCGGTGGGATAAGTTAGTCACGACGAACTTATTCCGCTGATTTCAATGGACCTATTCTAGACATGACTACATCAGAATCTAGCCCGAATATGTTAATTGTAGCATGAACTTTTGTAGGCAAGAAAGCCATACTTTAAGCCAAGTGCAAAAGCATTCAAGTGTATACAGCTGAGAAAATCTTCGCCTCATTACAAAGCATTTTTTGTCTTTTCGGAAAACTGGCGGGTTGCACAATAAGGGGCATTCTTGGGGCGTGTCTCCTACATTTTCATAGTTTTGTTTCTGGGACTTTCCACCCATTCCATTTGTTTTCATTGGAGGTATATGCACTAGACTGTCGTACTCCAGCCAGCCTTCTTGATTTTTCCTTTCCTGACCTACTTGAACGTAAGAACAGCTCTGCTGTTCCCAGCGCTCATCCAGTCCAGCTTTCAGTTCACAGTGGCCACATTCATTCTGGGATCCAGTGACCAACCAGCTGCCCAAGGGATCCCATGAGCAGGACATGTGACAGGACCTTCCATGTTCCCCAAAAACTGGTGTACACAGGCATATTACGATCAATACTGAGAGGCAGCACAGAGCCATGAGACTAATCATGTTACTGCAATCCTCTGCCCCACGGCTTCCTAATTAATTCTAAAATGAAAGACTGGCAGGCTGCATCAATCTAACGTACAGGGACAGTTGACATTCAGAAAAGTCGGGTAAGAATGCCTGTCGGTGCCTGGTGTACTCCATTCGAAACCCCTTCTGCGGGGAGACCGAAAGGGAAACCGCAAACTAGGAAAGGGACAACTCCCCATGCCGATTTTCCCTGTAAATAGTCTACTACGATATGCTGAAAGCAAAGTCAAAACAGTTTCCCACATTAGAGTGTATGCCCATCAACTGAAATAGCCTTGGTACCCTCCCTTCCTCGAATACCCCTTTACCCTTTTACAAAGACCTTGTGTTGATTCTTTCACCTGCAGCACTGAGGTAACAGCCCGGAACTTCATAAACACAAACGATCTTAACAGTATTTGCTGACAAAACACAAGTTAAAGGCTCTCAGTAGATATTTGGCAAACCAGAACATGAACCTATCAGATAGTTTTAGATTTAATTCTACTCTGCAATTTTTGTAAAAGGATTCTTCCATATCATCATGGAATGTCTGTAAAAAACAGGATCTTTTACTGTTTGGCTGCTTTCATAAAGCAACATGATCTCCTGACTTTTATACAGCTGACAGTAATTTAGTTCTAATGCTTATGACCATGTAGTGGTGGAGTGTATGCCATCTCTCTCTCCTTGTCTGTGTGAGCAACTAAAACCAAGTAATAGTATGTCAAAGGAGAAAGTGTAAAATTACCACTTTGCATCAAATGGGCCTTGCGTTAGAGGCAGTGTTAGGGGGTTGGAATTCCAAATCTTTCATTGGGAGTCCCAAATCTCTGGGAGGTCATCTGCCATACCACCATGCTATCCACAGACACTTGCTGCAATAAAGGTGTAGGGCCCTTTATCTCTGGTGCATTTGATCGCACTGGCTTTTTGTTTACTGGCTGGCTTTTTGCTTACCTGTGCTTTACCTCCTGCTTCCTGCCTCCACTACATCTTTCTGCCTCAGGTTTTTTCTGAAATCAAGTGCCCTCCTCTCCGCTATCCACATATTCCTTTTCTACAAATAGGAAGGTCTTTAGGAAACAGAAGCCCTTTAAAACGCACTTTAGCACACATGTCAATTAGCATATATAAATTTGTGCATTTTATTAGCATATACAAATTTGTACATTTTTTCCTGTCCTGTGGCCTGTGCCCAGATTTTTTCAGCAGCCAGCAGCACCTCTGGTTTGCATTCTAATTCTCTAAAGACTTCAAAGTATCTATTTAGCACATTTAAATCTCACCTTCCTTCAACAAGAAATTGAATGCAGCATTCACCAAATTCCCAAATAGTCTCCCAGCCACATACAGACCAGACTCAAACCAGTTTAGCTTCAACAAGTCACCTGTGTCATGTATTCTGAAGCATATCCCAGGATATACCCAAGAATGGTGATGAAATAGATTTGCTTTCCTTGTTTAGTTGTAGAATGGGAAAAAGAAGCTCTTCTCCAAATGAGATTTAGCTATGTGCAAGCTTGAGCACCTCACAGAATTCTTCATCAATTACATATATCCTGTTACAAACCATTTATCTTCCAGTAGATATCCTAGGGCAGAGAGGACCTATATGGCAACCACTGTGTACGTGATCAGATAATAGAAGAGAAAATGCTTCTTTTTTCTTGGAACTCACTGCCAGCACAAAGCAAAATATGAACAGACAATATTTGCATCGACAGTAAGTTAAAGTACATGAGCAAAAATTGCTATAGGGGTTCTTTTGTTCATTCTTACACTACGGACTGTTCCTTGTTTGATAGCTGGGCAGTTTGGCTACTTGTACTGGTAATTTTAGGTCAAAAGCAAGCAGGAGGTGAGGTTAGGACTTTGATCTCCCACTATGATATTTGCCTAGCCTCTGCAATAAGATACCTTAAGTTTTCCAGTGGTAATGGATCTTAGGCTCCTCCAGTAGCAGCAAACCTTTAAAGTTTCCTTTAGTTTATCTAGGCAATGGGTTGTGACCCTAAGTTGAAACATGTCACACCAGCACATTTTTTTTGTTCTTGCTTTGTTTTTGGAAGAAGAAAAAGGCTAACATATACAAGTTGTCAGCAAATTTGGAAAACTCAACAATGGCCACAGGATTGGAAAAGGTCAGTTTACATTCCGATACCAAAGAAGGGCAATGCCAAAGAATGTTCAAACTACCGCACCATTGCACTCATTTCACATGCTAGCAAAGTGATGCTCAAAATCCTACAAGCTAGGCACCAGCAGTATGTGGACCGAGAACTACCAGAAGTACAGGTAGGGTTTCGAAGAGGGAGAGGAACTAGAGATCAAATTGCCAACATACGCTGGATCATAGAGAAAGCTAGGGAGTTCCAGAAAAACATCTATTTCTGCTTCATTGACTATGCTAAAGCCTTAGATTGTGTGGATCACAATAAATTGTGGCAAGTTCTTAAAGAGATGGGAGTATCTGGCCATCTTATTTGTCTCTTGAGAAACCTATACGCGGGTCAAGAAGCAACAGTGAGAATTGCACACGGAACCAGATTGGTTCAAAATTGAGAAAGGAGTTCAGTAAGGCTGTATACTGTCGCCCTACCTATTTAACTTATATGCACAGCACATCATGAGAAAGGTGGGCCTAGATGAATCACCATTTGAAATTAAGATTGCTGGGAGAAGTATCAACAACCTCAGATATGCAGATAATACCACTCTCATGGCAGAAAGTGAAGAGGAACTAAAAAGCCTCTTGATGAGGGTGAAAGAGGAGAGCACAAAAGTTGGCTTGAAACTCAACATTAAGAAAACTAAGATCATGTCATCCAGTCCTCCCACTTCCTGGCAAACAGATGGGGAAGAAAAGGAGATAGTGACAGATTTTATTTTTCTGGGCTCCAAGATCACCGCAGATGGGGACTGCAGCCAAGAAATTAAAAGACACTTGCTCCTGGGGAGGAAAGCTATGGCAAATCTAGACAGCATACTCAAAAGCAGAGACATCACCCTGCCAACAAAAGCGCTTATAGTCAAGGCAATGGTTTTCCCAGTTGCAATGTATGGCTGTGCAAGCTGGACCATAAGGAAGGCTGAGCGCCAAAGGATTGAGGCCTTTGAATTGTGGTGCTGGAGAAGACTCCTGCAAGTCCCTTGGACCGCAAGGCGATCAAACCGGTCAGTCCTAGAGGAGATCAACCCTGACTGCTCTTTAGAAGGCCAGATACTGAAGATGAAACTCAAATACTCTGGCCACCTAATGAGAAGGAAGGACTCCCTGGAGAAGAGCTAATGCTGGGAACAATAGATGGCAAAAGAAGAAGGGGACGACAGAGGATGAGGTGGCTAGATGGAGTCACTGAAGCAGTTGGTGTGAGCTTGAGTGGATTCTGGGGGATGGTGGAGGACAGGAAGGCCTGGAGGAATGTTGTCCATGGGGTTGCGATGGGTCGGACATGACTTCGCGACTAACAACAACAACATATACAGCGAGCATGCTATTGAATAATGTATAACAGAGTTGAACTGGGACATTACATAATACGTAATATACTATTAACTATAGTCCTTGTCTCTTTATTTTATTTTGTTAGATAATATTAAACTAACTATTCTGTAGAATTGCATCAACCTTGAATAAGCCTGAGGGGAAATGCTAGTTTGCTTCAGCGGCATGAGTTGTGATTTATTGCCACTTTGCTCCCATTTCAACGGATTGGATACCTGAACAACATAACTATCAAATGGAGTTTTTCTGACAAAATCCAGGTAGGTGAAATTGTGAAACAACTAACCAACATTTTAAATTACACACTTCAATCTTGATTACAATAAAGAATCCTTTACAGTTTTGATGCTTTCCTAATGTCCAAATCTTTTTTCTTTTCTTTTTCCCCAGGTACAAACTGACTGCTTTTTTGCGTATTTCCCTATTTTACCTTGAATTACGTATCTTGAGGGCTGCTACAAGCACCTGCCCTTAGAGGTAAGAAGTTCAAAAGGGCCTCAAGATGGCAGCCTTTCGGATCTGGGGAATGAGTTGTCGTTTTGCCCATCATAAATATGGCCGCATGGCGACAGAATCCCTTCCCAAGGAAGGGAGGGGGAGGAGCAGAGCGAGAAGGCTGGGCAATGGAGAGCCGCGTTACTACTGGTTGCCACGGTAACAGCCAACGACATGAGTAGATGGTTTCTAGTGGGCGGTTGCCCCGGGTGGTGGGTGTGGGAGAAGCCTGGTGTAGCTGACGGAGTGAGGGAGCGGAGGGAGGCGGTGGCCGATGGGGGGAGAGCAGAGGGGTGTGGGGCTGGTGACAGCTGCTGAGAAGCTCGGAGCCCAGGTGAGGAGCGCGCTCACGGTGGGTGCCGCGAAGAGCTGGAGGAAAGAGCGCGTGGCGAGGATGCCCGGGGTGGGTACTGCCTCGGGCCGCCTGGGGCGCAGGAGGGGGCATCGGGGACTTTGGAGGCAGAGTAGGGTAGTCCCGGGAGTGGCTGCGCGAAGGAGAGTGGCCGCGGCGGCGGGGCGCAGCGGTGCGGTGCGGGCAGTAGTAGTAACCGCGATCTGCCAGGTGGGCGTGGTTTCGGGCTGCATGGCCTGACTTCAAGATGCTTGTAAGGACGTGGATTCGGTTGTGAAGCCAGGGATACGGGAGCTTTCGCAGTGTGGAGCGCAGGATTGGAGTGCTGGTGAGGAATGCGGTTTGCGGGTAACTGATGACTCGCGGGGTTGTGTGAAAGGCGCGGTGTGGCTTGAAGATACGACCCCACAGACATGCGGGGGGGGGGCACTCTTTGTAGCTGCCTTTCGGAGGATTGAATCATGCCTCTCTTCGCCTTGCATTTTAAGGGACCTGATGGCTATTATGCCAAATTCTGATGATTGCAGAGTGGGTGGGGATGCCTTTATAGCTTGAGGAACTGCGATATATGCATGGTCTGCTGCTGTTGCTTGCTACGGAGCAGCTGTGGTTGCTTTGATCCATTAATCTACTGTAACTGTTTCCAAGGAAGCAGTGGTCCCTTGGTGGGTAAGCAAGGCTGATTTCCTCCTGTGTAAGCCATTAGCCAGCATTAACAACAAGATCGTCACTTCTGCATGGGTTTAGACGATGAGACAGAATAAATTTGTACTTTACAATAATGACTTTTACCTTAATATGATTCTGTTGTCTTGAGAATCTTGTCTATTTGTTGTAAAGCAAGTGGAGATTCCAATTTGGCACTTTATGTACTTCGTATTTCTATTATTTTATAAAGTTCATTACTTTTTCTGTCCCATGGATAATTTCTATTTATGTAGCTATGAGTCTGAGACTAGCTTCAAAATCTGGGTTCATGGCTGGGTCACCTGATACTACTTTTCTCCTCTGTTCTACTAAGGCAGCAATTCAAAAGAGAAATGCTTCATTTTTTAACATTATTTTCATATGCAGTTATTTACTGTAGGTTTTGAAAGTAGATTAGCTATGCTTTCCAGAACTTTGCACTAACAAACCAAAGAAAGGTTTAAATATGAATCAGGAATGTCATTATGAAAGTGGGAAAAATGTGTCACCATTCATGTTTCAGTATACATGTGATTATTCCTCCGGAAGCCCTACATCTCTGGCCAGCACTGATTTTTACATGCAGTTTGGCGTGCATCTTGGTTTGATTCAGTGAAGACTTAAAGCAGAACTATATAGCTGTCAAAGTTGGACATACTGTGCCTAATCTGAGTAAAGCCATGGTCCCTGCCACCCCTTGGCAGAGCCCCTGCCATAATGCATTCCTTCAGCAAAGCTATACAGTAGACAGAATCAGACACCATGACCCGGTTTGGACAAAACACAATGGTGGTTGCTACTACCAGGTTACATATGCAATCTACACTTGGGTTGTTGTGCCATGTGAATGCAGCATGTGAGGGTTAACCACCTTGGGTCTTGCAAGAGTTATTTAAACCTCTCCTGATTCATGCTCAATGCATTCACACAGCCAGGGCTGCATAATCAAAATGGTGGGTTCATGTAACACAGCCTCACCATGGCTTACATAACACATTGTGGGCTGTTGTGCCCTGAGAACCATCCTGTCTGAATGAAGCCTCAACTGCATGCATCCTTAGGAACAGTCCCTGCCATGCTGCATGTCTATAAGTCACTGAGGGTGGGCGGGGGGGGGTCTGTTTACTCTATTCCCCTGAGTACAGTTTGCCCCACAGAAAGGTGGTAGGTGAAGCTACATTGTTCTCTCCCTCAGACTATCCTGGCCTTCCAAACTGTATTGACTGCGTTGCAGTGGTTAGGAAAGTCTGGCACCTAGTGACTGAAGACAGTACTGCACACATTAAACGCATGGGTACATTTAAACTGTAGGTTTGCTTAGTGAGCATGCCAAGTTTCAGGTGACTAGTTTTCATGGTTTTATGACACAGACATGCATACATCCTCTGTTACAGGTCAAGTATGCATACACATCTTTGAATCCATATGTATACATCCTTGCTTTGGAAATATAGCCCTCAAAAGCAGTGAATGACAGCAAGGACCCTCCTATGACATTCCCTTCCCACTGCCCTAGCAACTGATACTTAGTGATACCCTGCTTCTGAACCTGGAGGCTCTCTTTAGTTATCATGGCCAATGATCATTAATAAACCTGATAAACCAGTGCCCATCAATATATGATGTGGCAAAGAAATTCTGTGTTGCTTTTTTGTGTTTTCTTTGTCTTTGTCCAGCATCTTCTAGTGGAACTCAAGTTTGTTACGTAACTTGGATACTAAGATAACGGAAGAAACATTGTCAGCTTTCTGCACTAAATTCACATCATTTTCAAATTGCTATCATGTGTATTTGTATCTCTTCATGACTGTACACAAAATGAAAGAAAGACGGTAATTAGTTTACCACTCCACCAGTGCTGTGCACTGGGGAGACCCCAGTATGTATCCTGGTTACTGATCTGTTACTACTGAGGTAAGATAAGTCAGGCAGTGTTGTTGTTATGTGATGAGGATGTGGTCCACTTTATTGTATAGCAGTGGTAAGAACAGATGGGATTAGGTGGGCTGGGAAAATGAGATCCATTCTGGAGCATGAAGGTACTGGGTAGAGACCTGACTGATCTATGTGCCAGTCACTGGCTAAGTCACTGCCCTGTCTCAGGTTTAATTGTTATTTAATTAAGCTCCTTTCTTCCTGGGAGCTTGTGACCAGAGATCAAACTTCAGACCTCTTGTACACTTAGCCTTCTGTAAGACACAAGACCATGCTGGGCCATGTGACTGATATCCCTGGGTACAATGCACTGAGCAAATGGGGCACAGAGGGATGGTATGTCATGGACTAAGCAGCTCGAGGACTACAAATGCTCCATGATGAACTTTTTTCCCTTCTCCTCTGGCTTTATGTGTAGGGGGGAGTGAGAACCCCGAGTTCTAGCCTTTTGGTATCTCCTTTTTCAGCCAGAGTTATAGGTGTTGGCTTCCAAAGGAGAGCATTGCCTTCAAAAGCCACACTTGGATTGTTCAAGAAGAGACATACATTTCTCATTGCCTTCCTCTTTTCCACATAGCTGCCAGGCAGCTCATGCATTGCCTACTATCAGTAACTTCCTTATCCAAGAGACTTCCTTCCCTTTTGCTTGTACTAGTAAGATGCACAGTTCACTCACACAGCTATTGTGTCCATTGTTCTGAGCACTGTCTATGTAGAATACTTGGTCCTACAGCAGGACTCACACCCTTCTCTTGTCTTTCTATCTCTGGGGCTGCAGAGTAGGCCAGTCATTGTGTTTGGAATGGCAATTATTTTTAAGTTGGCCTGGATTTTCCTTGACAAAAGAACAGTTTGTATGCTTCAACTGATTTTGTCAGTACTATGGAGTATTGTCCTGCTGTGACTGGTCGAGGATCAGACCTGGAGAAGTCTGTGGGGTAAACATATATCAAAGACAGAGGTTAGAAGCACAGGCAAACAGATCGGTGCAAGCCCAACTCAAGGAGCAGGGTCTTTGCAGGAGTTCAGGGGCCAGCAGCACAAGGAATCAGTTAAAAGAAATAAACAAAGGAAAGCTTGAAACACAACTCAGCAAGGATGCTTAGGTGTTTTTCTAGCACCTAGTGCCTGCGACAGAAGGCCTTTAAACCTGAGCCTTCAGAGTCCAATCCAGAACACAGTTTCAGGCAACTAATGCCACCTGAGGAAAATCCATTCAGTTCAGAGATGATCTGAAAGCAAAAAGGGCATGTATGAGAAGTCAAAAGAAGGCCAGGCTACAAAGGAAGAGTATGGCAAGTAGCATGGAATTGCAGAGATGGCACCAGGAAAGCTAAAGCTAGGAATGAACTAAGGTTAACAAGGGATGCTAAAAGCAACCAAAAAACCTTCCTCAGCTGTGGCCATTGTAAAAGACAGAGGAAAGAAATGGTAGTTCAGCTAATCAATGTAGATGGCAAAATGATAACATGACAGGGAAAAGGCAGAAGTGCTCAATTCTTGCTTTAGCTCCATCTCCCAAAAGAGAATCTATGACCTTCCTAACAAAGGGGAAGTACAGGCTGAACGAGCAAGATGGCAGCTTGAGATTGGTAGGCAAATGGTTGAAGATCATCTAAGTAGTTTTAATGAGTTCAGATCTCCAGGGCCTAATGCACTCCATCCCGGAGTTATAAAGGAGCTGGCAGAAGAACTCCCAAACAGCTGTCTATTTGAGAAATCATGGAGGATAAGGGAAGTACCAGTTGACTGGAGAAGGCCTAATGTCGTCCCCATCTTTAAGAAGGGAAAAAGAAGAAACCTGGGAACTACACATCAGTCTGACATCAATAGCTGGGAAAATTGTGGAGCATATTATATAACAACCAGTTTGCAAGGACTTTGAAAACAATGCAGTGATTACTAGAAAGCAACAGGGATTTGTCAGGAAGAAATCCTGCTAAACTAATCTGATTTCATTTTTTGATTGGGTAACCTCCCTAACGAACTTTGGGAATGCTGTGGACATAATATATCTTGACTTTAGAGAATCTTTTGACAGAGTGCCTCATGATATCCTGACTAGCAAACTCACTAAAAATGGGCTAGATGGAACAAATATCAGGTTACACAGTTAACCACGGTTGGTTACAGAATCCGTCACTAAGAGTGCTCATCAGTGGCACCTTCTCAAACTGGGGAGAGGTAACAAGTGGGGTACTGCAAGGTTCACTCCTGAGCCCCGTGCTCTTCAACATTTTTATTAATGATTTGGATGAGGAACTGCAGGGAATGTAATTGGGTAAGATACCTAATACCCTGGAAGACAGAAACAAGTTTCAAGGTGAACTTGATAGGTTGGAGCAGTAGGCAGAAGGCAA